CCATGTCCTTGTAGCTCGGCTTTGGAGGGAGGGGTCACGGGCTCGTGGGCTGCGACCTTCCACGTTAGAGCGTTGTTTTTCTGTGCAGTTGACAACAGATGGCTACATGTAGATTGTAAAATCAACACATTTTAACATTATTTTTGTAATTGTGAGGCCAGTGCGCATTTTCAGTCCTCAGATGTGGAGTGGGTCAGATATGTGTTTACCTTTGGGCAGGAAGAGGGAGTGTTGGGGGATGGTTTGGGGTTGATCCCATGACCTCCGGGCCAGAACTGTGATTAAACATCTGATGAGCAGACACTGGCTCTTTCATTAGAGCAGATTAACCGTGGCTAGGGCGTCTGCTGAGAGTGCTCCTGCTTGGGGACTCAGGTGTGGGTCCTGCCCTTGGGCCGGCTTGGGCCGGCTTGGCCCGGGGACACCCGATCCTGCCTCGGAGCCATCCATTTCATCCTGGGCCATTGGAGGCCACCACCGTACAGCAAAGACACCGGGAGCCAGGGGGCCGTGTGCCTGGCGGGGCACCACCCAGGGGCCTACCCAGGAGGCGCTGTGGGCCTGTCAAGGCCGGCCTGTCCCTCCAGCACCCGCACTTCAGAGTTTCCTGTGCCTGGGCTTGTCCTCAGTTCTTGGCATCGTGAGCGAACAGAGTGATGAAGGGGGCGCCAGCCCAGGTGAGTGGCCTCCCATGACTCGGGTGGGTCTCGGCCAGAGGAAGACCCCTGCCCTCCAGAGCTCCAGTGGGCTTGCAGGGTTGTGTTTGGGGAGTAGGAAGGGGTTTGAAGCCTGCCCTGCTTCCCACCTGTAGGGAGTCTGTAGGACTCAGTTTCCTTTGTTCAAACTTTAATTGTAACCTGTCCTTAAAAAACATGAAACGAAGTGTGAGCATCCTGAGAGGTACAAGTAGGCAGGGGACTCATGGGGACCACCCAGGTGCTGTGTGGATGGTGTTTCCATATTATGGAGGTGCTGGTGGGTCCCTTGGGGCAAAGCATTTGTTATTATGGGAGTGTCTTGACTGTAGCAGAGTTGAGTACAGTTACACAGGCCCTTCCTACTGGGAGGAGCTGCTACCCTGCGCCCGGGCCATGTTTTGGGATCTGGGAAGCCATGTGTCCACAGATGCTGTCAGGTACCTCCAAACGCAGGCCCTAACCAGGTCTCCTGGCCTGCTGGGTGTGGGTCGCACTCCAGCTCCATGCTCACCATGCAGAGACGCTCCTCCTCTCCCAGCAGGCCGTGCGTTCTGCTGGGCCCAAGGGGTGACTAAGTGGACAGCTCTCAGGAACGAAGGGAAGTGTATTCTCTCTAAAGGACTAGTGACTGAAAAGTGACTCAGGGAACAAGAGGAAGTATGGTGGGTCATGCACAGGGAGCAGCCTGCAGACTGGAGGGACTCACGCAGAGGCTGAGGGAGCATCTGCGTCTGCAGCTGCTTTTGTTTGGTGTGTTTCTCTGTTTTCTGCCCTCATTGCACGTGTCACTTCGGCGCCCACAAACGGGGAAACCAGGTGTCCAGTCTGCAGCTTGTCCCCCTGTGTGCCCTGGCCGTGCATGTGTCCTTCATGCCACTGGGCTCCCACCGTCCTGGTCTTTGTTCCGGGGAGTTGACTTCACCAGGTGTCCGTCTCTGTCGTCAGGCTCATCCACAATGTCCACAGTCACTAAATGGCTGCTTAGCTGGTGCTCTTTCTTTTCTGCTCCCATGGGGAGCTCTGGGGACACTTCTTACCTGTTCAGTTTCCTTCGAGTCCTCTGTCAGGACACCTTGTCTTAGGTGTTCCTTGGCACAGTGGACAGGTGTTTGACGGCATGAAACTGGGCACATGTCTATGATCCACCTGCTCCCCGTGAGCGTCAGATGCCTGGGAAAGACACCAGGGCCCTCGGGTTAAGCACGTGGAGCTGCGGGGTGCACGTAGTTCTGACTGTGCGGCTGGCAGAGGGGTCAGTGCTTAGCATTCACTTGCAGACAAGTCCCGAGAGCTGTGGCTATTAGCCTGTCCTTTCCCAACACACAGCACAGGTTGTGGCTGGCGGCGAGCTGAGCGTGGACCTCATGGTTGCCCAGGGACACTTGGGGAGCTGCCGGCCCGAGCTGTGCAGCCAGGCCCTTCCCACGTCGCTGCCTCTCCCCCAGTGACAGGAAACATGAGACCCAGGAGCCTGACTTTGTCCAAGGTCGTGTGGCCAGGCTGGCTCATCAGAAGGAGAACCTAAAACCCAGTGCATCCCTGCTCCCTCCCTCGCTTCCGGGGCAGTCGGCGTCGTTGGGTGCGGGGTGACCATGTCAGGGCCTGGCCCCAGGGCCTCTAGACGACAGAACCCTCAGCGTCTTGCATTCGTTCCAGAAACACTGTCAGAAGCTGAGCCCTGGGTCGGCCGGTGACCACCACCACTGGAGGAGCGAAATTGGCATTCCCAGCACGAGTGTGCTGCCGGGGGTGACTCACTGGTGGCAGTGCCTCGTGGGTTGGCGCGCTGCTGGAGCCTTGGGTCAGATACAGGTTGCTTGCCTTGAGTGTCCCTGCCAGTGTCTCCTGGGCTGGCCTCGGTGCCCCTGGTGGAATGTGTTGAGGGTGCTAGAGGGGTCAGGGCCCCATATCACTCAAAGATTTCTATCAGAGCAACACCACTGTGGGTTTTCTCTCCATTTTGAATTCAGAGCACATATTCAGGCCCTCTGTTTTGGGATCTGAGAGTGAACTCACACCTTGAATTCAGGCTGAGCCCTGTGGGCTCATCTGTGGCCTGGCCAAGGTGACCTGGGGACCTGGGACAGGCTGTCCTGACAGAGTAGGTGTGGAGGTGGGGGTCCGAGATGGCCACCTGCAGGCTGTATCTTGTATTTTGGTTCTGTAACACCCATGGTGGGATCTGCTCTGAACCGCTAGGGGACCACAGGCAAGACCACCTTGACATGTGAGGACTCAGAGTGCTGTCAAACCAAACTAGCCAGCCACGTCTGTGCGGCCCCTTCTGTGTGAGCATTTTCATGTTCTGGAAGTTCAGGCCAGTGGTCAGTGGACTTAACTTCTAAGGTATCTGTCCCCAGGCGTCCGGGGAAGCACAGGGTTGGTGGGACCTGAAAGGCACCCCACATGGGGACTTGAAGTTCCCGAACAGAGGGCTGTACTTGGAGCTCCTTGTACCGGAGCCCCCCTGCCCAGGAGGGAGCTTTAAAAGTCCAGACCACACAAAGACGTTATTGTCTGTCGTCCCGGCCCCCCGCAGCGAGCCCCCCTTTACCTCGTGCTGCGCTCCTGTTGTATGCGATGCTGTTCCCAGTTTTCATCTGACACACCACGGGTGTCATTCACGGCAAATGCAGCCCTGGATCTTTTAAAATAAGCGCAGAGTTTTATTACGTAGTGAACCATATTTAAAACCAAATCCCCACTAATGGCCCATTCGGTTGCTGAGCAGGTTTATCCTTATAAAAAGAGCTGTATGTTTGGTCTGAAAGTGTCTGGTTAATTGTGGGAGGGGCGCAGACAGGGTGTCTGCCAGGAGCCGGTGCCTGCTGTGGGCCCCCTCCCTTCCCAGCAGCTGCACCCCAGGACAGGCGTCTGCCTCCCCCGCCCGGCCTCTTCCCCGGGGTGCACAGTGGAGTGAGGCCCGGCTGGCCTTGCTTCGCTCTGGACTCTCCCCTCGGAGGGTGACAGGGTTCTCCTTCAGCTGCTCGGTGTCCTTGGAGGAGTGGGTGAGAGGTGCTCGATCCCTGCCCTGCTGGCTGGCGGGAGCCTGGGAGCTCTCCTGCGTCCAGGCTCTCGGTGGGGGTCCTGGCCTTTGTGGAGGGCGTGGGGGATGCGAGGTCCAGGGTGGCACTACGCCCGTGGGCAGGGCGGCCGTGACCTTGGCTGCGTCCATGTTGTGATTCAGCCTGTGTGCCCCTCACTGTAGATGAGGTTTCCTGTGTTATGGCCCTTTTCTCTTTTTCTTCTGAAGCGGCAAGCAGTGTGTCTTGTTGCTGAGTTGTGTTTCTGGCTTCCGGGCAGGGAGGCCATGCTGTATGGAGGGTGTGGAGCAACACCTCTGCATCCATACTGCTCCCTCTGCAGCCTCTCTGGGCCCACCTTGCACTGGGACGCCCTCCCGCCAGCCCCTGTGCCCGGGTTGCCGACCACGCTGTCCTCTCAGCAGACTGGCCCCGGACGTCCTGGCCCAGTGCTCCTCTGCTACGTGGACTGTCGCCCTGCGGTCAGACCGTTGTCTGGGTGAAGGGGGAGTTGTCCTGCAGGGGGTCCTGTAGCCATGTCAGAGTCCCCCGAGGTGCCCAGCTCATGTTTCACTGACTAGCTGGGGGCAGTGCTCAACTTGGTGGCTGAGGAGATGCAGCCCAGGTCGGGGCGGGGGGTACCTGGCCCAGACCTGGCCTGGCTGCCCGAGCCACCCAGGATGATGTAACTTCCCCACAAGGAGACCGATGTCAGGGAGGGGACACAGGTCCAATTCGCTGGCACTGCCTTCCCTGCCTAGGTTTTAGGTAGGCAGAGATAGGACCCGCACTCTCCTCTGTGCTTGCCGAGGACAATTTGTGGCTGCTGAGTGTCTCCCTGGCTTGTCATGTGGTATTGGTGGAGGGTTACCTGGGTCCTGAACTGTCCACCACAGGACCTGTGCCGGGGAGGGAGACCCAGGACGCCCGGCCTGGCAGCATTCTGAGTCCAGTGGTCGCTGCCCGTGCTGGCTTCCCACTTGTCGGCATCCGGGACATGGAGCTGGGACCCTTGTGGGCCTTGCTGGTTCGGGGCCTCAGGCAGAGTGTGGTGTTGGCAGGTCACGTGTGCGTCTGTGTGCCCAGAGAAGGAAGACCGGCTATCCGTGGCTCTCAGGCCCCGCCCCCTCGCCAGCGCCCACTCCATCCCCAGTGCCCTGCACTTGACTCAGCTGTGGACTCCCATCTGTATCTCCCCCCCTAGGCTTGTTGTTCCCCTGCTTCCCTCTTGCCTCCCCCTCCTTTCAGCTCCTAAGCTGGACCCAAACTCATTTCTCAGCAGGAGATGGACACTCGAGAGAGAACAGCCCCATCGTTAACAATGGCGACATGGAGAGAGAGAGTTTCTTCGAAGGAAAGAACATGGCACTTTTTGAGGTACGCCACACTTTGTCCTGCAGAAAGCAGGGGTCAGTACAGTAGCTGTAATTTGGACACGTGAAGAGGCTGTGGTCCTGAGGCCCCCAGTCTAAGGGTGGACCGAGGGGCTGGGCTGCCCAACTGGATGCTGAGTGGGCAGGGAGCTGGCAGCCGTCCGTGTCCTGAGGCCCTTACACTATGTGCCCTCATGGCTGACACCTGTCCGTGCGGGGCTTGGAGAGGCAGAATCCTGGGCCATCTCGGGGACCCTGGTCCCCCTCTTTGGGTGGGTGGCCTGGAGCCTGCCCTCCAGCCCCAGACCCCGGACTTCAGACTGCCATGACTGGGGCTGGCTGGCCCATTTCTGGCTTCAGGACCAGGGGCAGAGTTGGCTCCAGGTGGCCCTGGAGATGGGCTGTCCGGAGCACCCACACGGCAGGAGCTCTGCTGGGTGGTTGACCTGCTCAGATCGGGGGTGTTTCAGTTTGGGATCCAGGTGACTTATTGTGTGTCTTGGTCCTAAACAGGAGGAGATGGACAGTAACCCCATGGTGTCCTCACTCCTCAACAAGCTGGCCAACTACACCAACCTGAGCCAGGGCGTGGTGGAGCATGAGGAGGATGAAGAGAGCCGGAGGCGTGAGGTCAAGGTACACCGCCCCGCCTATGCCTGCCGCCCAGCCCCACACCTCCCAGGACCCCGCCAGGGCCTCCTCGCCTCCCTGTGTTTTTCAGTGACAGGGCCGTTTTCCTAGGAATTCATTTCTGAGGGATGTGTTTCTCGGGATCTATCCTGAATAAGCAGAGCTGCTGTGAGGATTCATGCATTAGAAAGGGGTTCTTTGGGAGAATTTCTAAGAGCCAAAACTTGGAGACCACATAGATGCCCCTGAGGGGGCTGGTGGGCTGTGCTGGGCTCCAGGGCAGACCAGCCCCAGCAGTGTTCACGACTCAGGGTGGATATAAAAGGAGCTCCTTGCACCGGAGCATATTTCATGACTTCGTTCGGATGCAGGTGAAACCGCAGGGAACACGGTTGTGTTGAGTGTCTTTCTATGGGAGAGTGATGGCTGATTATTAGTTCCTTCTTCTCTTACTTTTAAAACTCCCACAAAACAAGCATGTATTCCTTTAAAACCAGAGATACAAACTGCCCCGATCAGTGTGGCCCAGTGGGTTGGGCGTCGCACCACCAAGTGCAAGGTCGCAGGCTTGCTTCCCTGTCAGGGCACATGCCTGGGTTTGCCCATTCAGTCCCTCCCTGGTTGGGGCGCAGCTGATGGATGTTTCTCTCTCACATCAGTGTTTCCCTCCCTCTTTTGTCTTCCCTTCCCACATAAGTAAAATCTTAAAAAGATACAGACTAAAAATTAAAAAAAAATTGAACCACCCAAGGAATCCCTCCAGCGCAGGCCTCAGCTCCCAGAAGCCTTGAAGGGCAGTGTCCCTTCCTTCTCCCCCTGAAACCTCCACGAAAACGGGCATTTCCCGAGGTTTAGCAGCAGTTCTGCTCTTCTGCTCACCTGTTCTGTGAGTGGCCCACTGAACGGCGGAAATTGGCTTTTCTCGATTTTAAACGCTGGCTCCCCTCCTTGTTAGCTGTGAGGACTCCCCTTGAAGGGCGTTGTGTTCCGGAGGGAGGGCCTTGGAAGCAGCTGCTTCCTGGCGAGCAGGACAGAAGGCTTTGTGGGGCCTGAGCCCCTGGCCTCCCAGAGGGGCCTGGCGCTTTCTGCAGTGTCCTGTCAGCTGGATGGGGTGGCTGAGTGACCCCCACAATGCTGAGCTGGGACAAAGCGGGAGGGATCCCGACAGCTGCCTTCCTGCCCTTCCCTTCCCCGTCCCACTGTGCCCACCCTGCCCCTCTGGCCAGTGCTGGGGCCGAGGTGCTGGGAGACGTGTGTCCAAACAGCCTCACTCACTCTCCCCCTGAGTGTCTCCCTTGTGCCTGCATCTGGTCTGACCTTGGCCCCTTTGGGCTCCAAACCAAGAGCTTTTGCCCTCTCTCCTTCCTCTGACTGTAAGCCCACAGGATGAAGACTCATTTCGTGACACTTGAGTGTGTTGGCTCCTGGTGTTTGAGAAGGGCTGCTTATTCGGAATGGAAGTAGTAGAGACACGGGGGACATGGGGCATGGGATGTGGCCTCCATCCTAGGTGGAGGGCAGTGTGTCTGGTCCCCCTGCCATGATTTTCTGGCTCCTTGGGAGCTGTGTCCACCCTGGCTGTTCATGAAGCCACCGCCTCTTCCCCCGCCAGGCAAGGGACAGGGGACGCTGACCCCGGGTGATGCCACGTGGGAGGTTACAGCTTCGGACGAGTGCCCTGGGCACTGCCTGTGGTTTCATGGGCTCTGGATCCACTGCGGGGGCCCAACTGTTCGTGCACATGTCACATGTCTGTCCCTCTGTCTGTCCACTGGAGCTTGTGTTCCAGTGAGCTGTCAGCCTACTCCAGGAAGTAGACACTTTCCCTCAGGGACCTGCATCCGGATGCTTCCTGGGACTGATCCTCAGCCTTAGCTTGCGGCACCAGCCAGGCCTTGCCTGCAGCCAGAGCTCCTTCCAGGCCGGGGGTGCAGCCCAGTGGGTCACAGAGGGCTTGCAGCCCAGACCCCATGTCAAGGTTTCTGTTGAGAGGGAACCTAAATGTTCAGCCTGGTCAACCTGAACAAGGCACGTGGTGTGGACTCACTGCCAGGTCAGGACCCGGTGCAGGGCTGGTTTTGGCCACAGGAAGGACGGCCACCCCGTGACCCTCGGCAGGACTGGGTGTAGCCAGGCGGGCAGATGTCAGCTGGGATGAATCCAGTCACCCCCCTTAGGACTGAGTGCAGGTCCTATGGGACAGCCTCTTACTGTCTCTCAGACCAGCCAGGCACAGGAGCTTGTCCCCTGAGATGGGGCTTTTGTTCCCCTGGAGGCTCCAGGGCCTGGGCCTGGAGCCTCCAGTGCCTCAGAGCCAGTTGGATCCTTCAAAGCTGCCTTTTATGAGAGAACTGAAGGCCGAGGTGCCCTTCCAGGGTGACTCAGGACCGTGGCAGCCGCTGGGCACGGAACTGGCTCCAGGCAGGCGGGCGGGGCCCACGTGAGGCCTGCAGTCCCAGCTGCTCCAACTGAAGGGTTTGTCTCGGCCTCCACTGGTGGTTTATCGATCTCCCATGTGTTAGCTGAGACTGTACACAGAGATCATAAAATAGAAGCTGGCAGTTCGCCCACATTGCTGTCACTTTGCTTATTTCATGTCACTTGGCATATTCCTTCTCATTTTTGCACAGTCGAGACATACCCACCATGTGTGTAAGACCTGTAACCACTTTTATTTACACAGAGGTATGGGTACACTGTGGGTGGGTGGGGCTTGTGGGAGGAGGGCCTCATTGGCCGGGAGCTGGAACTGGGGCCAGGCCTTGAAGGGGCTGCCTGCCCGCTCCCCAGCTGCTCTCTTAGGTCCTTCTCCCCAGGGCTCTAGAACTCGTGGGAGCTCCGTGGCCTTGTCCGTACTCAGTGGCAGGTGCTCCTGCCTGTCACCTGTTCCATTTTCACCTGAGAAGCCCATCTTCTGTTTTTAATGGGGATTCAGCTTGTTCTCCTTTGGGCATTTGCCCCCCGGCCACCTCCCCGGGGCTGGCTGGTGTCCCCCCGAACCCCAGGCTGTAGCCCCTCTCTGAGCCACCACACCAGGTCCTTGTTTTCAGTCAGCGTTATCATTCAGGAAAGCTTCCGGGATTTTTTGGTAATGATTAATTTTAGAGAGAGAAAGTGAAAAAGAGAGAAATACCAACTTCTTGTTCCACCCATTCATGCATTTATTGGTTGATTCTTGCATGTGCCCTGACCAGGGATCAAACCTGCAACCTTGGCATATCGTGACGATGCTCTAACCAACTGAGCTACCTGTCCGGGGCTTTTTTTTTTTTAATTTACCTACATCCAAGACATTTCCCTCATTAAACAGCATCTTGCCTTTGCAGCCAGATGTCCCTAAATCCCAAGTGTGCTGCCTGAGTGTGGTCACACTGGCTGTTATCCCAGGTCACAGACAGGGAGGGCTGGGACCCCTGGCCTTGTCGGTCCTCTCTGGTGAGTGTGGGGCTGGCCCGTGGGCTCCTGGACACGTTGCTACCTTTTCCTCTGAGCCAGTCTGCTCATCCCATAGTCTTCCCAGGGTCCCAGCAGATGTTTCTGGCAGGCACACCCCAGTGCTGCCCTGTCCGCAGTTACCCCACGTCCGGCTGTACCCCTCCCGTGTCTCTGCACCTACAGTCATGGGCTCAGGGAAGTGCCCTGTGCACCCAAATGGCCAGTTCTCTGAGCCCTTGATGGTGACCTTGATCACCTCCTCCACGTGGGTTGAGACACTGCTGATTCTGCTGGAGTTGGTGTCACTGCGCGTTTGTGGCTTTAGGGAGCATGACTGTCTCACTCTCTGTGGCCCTCACTTCTCAGATTGTGGTCCCTGAGGGTCTGAAAGCTGGACCTGTAGTAGTTGCATTACAGTTGCACCAGCCTCTTGCTCCCATCTTTTCCCAAACTTCCCCGCCTTCCTGCTGTTCCCCGCTCTGCCCCCTGGAGGGCAGATGTGGTATTGGTCCGTCTCAGAAGGCCACCCCACTCCAGCACGGCTGGAGTCCTGCTCTGGTATCTCCTGGAGCCTCATTTCATTTGGGGGCTGGTCCCCCTTCATTTTTCCAGGTCCAGGTGGCTGAAGCCTTCCGCCCTTGCCAGCTCCTTTCTTTGTCCCCCTGTCCCTGGAACCTTTTCCTGGGGTCTGAGGGTGTAGCCAGGGCTCCTGAGGGACGGGTCCCTGGGGAGAGGGGCTGAGGTCTGCTGGACGCAGGCGCGAGCTCCCGAGGACCGCTGTTCTGTCTCCCGCAGAGCCCGGGCATGGGCACCTTCATCGGCGTCTACCTGCCCTGCCTGCAGAATATCCTCGGCGTGATCCTCTTCCTGCGCCTGACGTGGATCGTGGGCGTGGCTGGCGTCCTGGAGTCCTTCCTCATCGTGTTCATGTGTTGCACCTGTGTGAGTGAGCAGGGCTGCCCTGGGATGTGGCGCTTCTGCCTCTGGGGCGGTGGTGGCTGGGTTCCAGGGACCCGACCAGGCGGATAACCGCGGGCTCTCCAGGGTCCGCTGCTGCCCTTGGCTCTGAGGTTGCCCACGTGGATTCTGTCCCGGGGCGGCCTCCTCACCGGCGCTGGTGTAATCACGGGGAAAATGGGTGTGGCCTGGGGGTCAAGCTGCCTGTGCCCAGGCTGTCTGCTGGCTGCAGGAGGGAGTCTCAGTTAGCTGCATCTGAAGAAGTACAGGGGGCAACCCAGCCACCGAGGGTTTTCACTGGGCCCTGTCGCCACTCTCGGAGGTCCTGCACTCTGATTAGAGCCCCGTCCACCCATCCGGACATTTTCGGGGACCTCATTTGTAAGAAGGGATGGGTGCTGGTGACTTGTTGAGCCCCAGACCCCGCCACGCCAGACCTGGCACTTGGCCTCCGCGCCTGCATCTCTGTCTGTCAGCTGCGAGCAGTCTCTTCTCTCCACTCTTCTGTTGCGTCTGGTTTACCCTCTGGGTGCTCCTCAGTGCCTCCCGGCCATGATGTTTCTTGCTTCCTTTATTGTTAAGAAGGTGATTAAGCTATTCTGTCACCACGTGTCATCTGGAGACAGCTGTGTAAAGAATTCAAACAGTGCAGATGGGTCCCTCCGGACCCCTTGGGCCACTTCCCCTACCGTCCTAGGCTTCCCGTACCCGGCCTTCCTTGGGGAACTGCGGTGAGGTCACCTAAGAGGCCTGGCCACGTTCTCCCTGGGTCACAACGTGTTTCTTTCATTTACGGTCGGGAAGTGTCTGGAGCAGTGCCAGACACACACACAAAGGGACAGAGAGTAGGGTAATGGGGTGGAGCCTTGTTTGGGCCCAGGCGCTGCCCGGCAGGAGCAAGGTCACAGCGGTCACTGGGGCCTCTGCTTCCCAGGCTGTTCCTTCTGGTCCTTGGGTTGTGAAATAGTGACTCCCCAGCCCATGGGTGTGGCCGTTTCCTGAGCAGGTGGGCACCTTATACCGCATGGGGGCGGGGCACCCAGGCAGAAGCCAGCCCTTCATTGCTAGTCGGGGGTCTTGAGTCTGGTGTTTTCTGGGCACCCTGTAGGAGCTCAGATTTGGGAGTTAAGTGGGAGAGAAGGTGGGGTTGGGGGCTGGAGTCCTAAGTGTTGGGGCTTTGCCTGCTGGCTACTCAGCAGCCCGTTCATGACCAGGAGCTGAGGAGCAGGCAGCCGGGTTCTGCCCCAGGCCCGGTGCTGTGCTCCCAACACTGGAGCAGCCTTCAGAACTGCTCTTGCAGAAGCGTCCCCTGTCTTTTTGCAGACGATGCTGACTGCCATCTCGATGAGTGCGATTGCCACCAATGGCGTGGTCCCAGGTAAGAGGGGGCCGGAGACGGGGTCTCTTGAAGTGAAGCCTTCCTTTTGTGGGTGGTAACTGAGCTGAGCTCTGCCGTGGATGCAGTGCATACTCTACTTCCATTTTGATGGTGACCTTGACATTCTTAGCCCTTTACCCAAGGTAGCCGCAGGTGAGGCAGGGGTGCAGCCCGGTGTGGATGTGCCTCACTCACCTGGAGGTTGTTGCCGTCATTCATGTCCGAGCACAGAGGTCTCCGGGGGTCTCTAGAGGGGTCAGGTGGGTCTAGAGGTGTCTAGAGCGGTCGGGGGGAGGGACGTCCTCAGCCTGGCCAGGCCCTTCCAGGGGTCTGTCAGCAGTGAGTGCACCTTTGGGCAGTGATGTTCATGCAGCTCGAGGGCTAGTGCCCCTGGTGTCCTGGGGCCTCTTGCCGTGTTTCCCCCAAGGGCACTGTGGGGCTTTGCCAAGACCAGGGCAGGGACCTGTCTTGCAGCGAGGCTCCCAGAGGCTGCTGTGCAGTTGGGATTCACCTCAGGGTGGGAACTGCCAACACCCCCAAGGTTTTTTTTGTGTGTCAAACTTAATTAAGCCTTTGGTGTCTAGACAAGAGGCTGGTATTTTATGACCAGATGCGTCCCTTTGATTCTGAAGTTTAATTTCCCATAAACCATTATCCTCTTTTAAAGTGTCAAAACTGGAGCGCCACAGGCTTAATTAAATTTGTTGCCTCTGGCGCTGTCTGACCTAGGGGTAGGAGTGCAGGAGGGGCTGCCTGGGTGATGGGGGCAGGGGCTCTGGGCTCTTCCCTGCAGGGTTCACTCCGACATGTGAGCCCTGAAATGATGGCTGTTTGTTTTCCCCAGTTTTCTAGCGTGGCATCCTGGCACTGAGAGGGCAGTGCCTGGGGGGCAGTGAGCTCAGCAGAGAAGGGAAGGCAGGTGGGTGGGTAGGCGGTGCCTCGGACCAGTTCGTTCCTTAGGCTGTATCGTCTCTCATGAGCAAAGGTACAGGCAACATGCCTCCAGTTTATTTGCCACCTGGATTCGAGGAACTGAAATAACGCCACCTTGTTCCCCTGCAACTTGTGTGTGTATAAGTGAGGCCCAGAGTGTTTTGTACCCCAAGGCCATGAACAGCTGCCCCTTCCCCAGAGCTGCCTGATCCTCACAAGGAGCAGCAGTGGTGTGGAGACCATCTTCCTGCTAGCCATGGAGCCTGAGGCCCCCTGTGGGTCTAACCCACGTGGGTGTGGGAACCAGTCTCCCTTCACTCCACACCCAGCTGGGAGGCGGCACCAGAACTCAGTGCTCGAGGAGGGGTTCGATATGCTCCCTTGGAGAGATGATTCTACCGGCAGATTGGCTTTTAGGTTTGCTTCTCAGAAAGAAGGGCACACTCTGTGAAGCTCTTCAGGCATTCCCAAGTCACGCCATGGTCTCCTGGTCAGTGTTGGAGCGTGAATTCAGCTGTGCAGCAGAATGGTGGGGCGGAGTTATCAACTGCACTTTGGGGGTGATGCAGAAACGATGCCTAGGCATCCCTGGGTTCTCAGCCCATTTGGGGCAGCAGTGAAAGGAATGGAAGTGTTAGTCTTATGTCAAAAGATGCAGACTTACAGTCTCTGCAGCCTGCTTGTGGCCGTGGTTGGTCACAGCTTCCAGAGCTGGTCGTCTGTCCTCTGAAGTTTGCATTCACAGGACACGGTGGGTTGGTGGGTCGCTAACCCACTGTTTTCTGTTTGGCATTTTTTTGCAGCTGGTGGCTCGTATTACATGATATCGAGGTCCCTAGGGCCAGAGTTTGGAGGGGCTGTGGGCCTCTGCTTCTATCTGGGAACAACCTTTGCAGGGGCCATGTATATTCTGGGGACCATTGAGATTTTTCTGGTGAGTGCTTGGTTTGGGGCTGCTTTCCCTTGCACAGACACTGACCCCCGAGGGCAGTGTTTCCCATCAGGCCTTTCTGCTCAGCTGTTGTTCCCTGTCATCCGGCGAACATGCTGAGTCCCTGTACTGAAGGATTTCCCCTAAAACTTGACATTGAAGCACTCACGCTGTCTTTCGTTGTGGACGTGCTTTCCTGGTTTGCTAGACCCCTCGGGTTGAGCTCTTTGGAGACCCCCACCCTTTGTCCTGACTTCCTGTTCCAGTGCCGAGGGTGTGGCTGCCAGAAACACTGGGGTACATGGTGGTGGGCCATGGGGTGACGTGCTCCCCAAGCCCTTGATTGCCATGTCCTGTACCTGATCCCACCCACTTCTAGAGCTTAGTCACGGGTCCCTCAGTCCCTTGCTCCATTGTTCCAGCAGGACGCACGAAGCGTCAGTCGGTGAGCTTGCAGTCGGTGCCGGCCCAGCTGGTTCTGGGAGGCCTGTACTGGGCTGGCACACATCTCCGAGCTGGATGACATCCCTGTTAGCAGAAAATCACTGCTTTTTTTTTTTTTTCAAACTAGAGAACTGGGGTAGCCTTGTGTTCGATGCTGCCTCACTGACAAGGGTCCTAAGCTTCATCCCAGAATCGTGCCCCGGCCATCACTGTTTGCTGCCTGTGGTTTTTTGTACCAGAGAGTCCCCTCTAGGTGCATTCTGGTGGTGCAGGGGCTCTCGGGGAAGGAGGGGACCCAGCACTAATCCCCACCGAGAGAAGGGCCCCTTTCAGAAGGTTGTGTCTGGCCCCCTCCCTCTCCCCATGTGCTCATCTTGCAGACAGGGATGGAGAGGCTGCCCCTCTTGACCTGCTTTGTCCCCACAGACCTACATCTCCCCTGGTGCAGCCATCATCCACCCCAAGTCGGAGGGTGATGAGGCCATGGCCCTGCTGAACAACATGCGAGTGTATGGGACATGCACCCTGGTCCTCATGGCCATGGTGGTCTTCGTGGGTGTCAAGTATGTCAACAAGCTGGCCCTGGTGTTCCTGGCCTGCGTGGTGCTGTCCATCCTTGCCATCTACGCTGGCGTCATCAAGTCTGCCTTTGACCCGCCAGACATCCCGTGAGTCCCAGTCTTCCATTAGGGATGTCTCGTGCTCGGTCCCTCTGCTCGGGTCAGGTCTGTGAGGACACAGCGTTTCCTAGTTTGTAATTCAGGTTTCATCTGTGGCCATGACAGTGGGGCCTGGGGTGGTGGTGCCTTACTTACCCCAGCTAAGACCCCAGGTGTCTAGTGGTCTTCCCTTCTCTCCCTGGCACCAGGGTGAGCAGTCAGGATGTTCTTGTGGCCAGCTGTCTGCATGGACAGGATGGAAGGTTTGGGGGAAGGTCCGGGGGCGTACTGGTTGGCCGGCGGACCTGAGGACAGATAGGCAGCACCTAGCTACTCCCAGGTGTTGTCTGCTCCCCCAGTCTTCACGAAAGCCCTCATGTAGGTTCTTTTCTCACCCTTCTTTTGAACGAGAACACTAAATCAATCCCAAGGAAGTGGCCCTAGGTCACAGAGCAAGCAAGCGGGCCGGTGGAGTGGCCGGCATGCAGGCATCAGGTTGCCCAGTGGCCGGGGTGGAGTGGGGTGGGCTGGGAGGCACCTGGCACAGAGCACCCTCCTGGCTCCTGGGCTTTGCTGCCTCCCTGTGCAGTGTGGGAGGAGCCGCCTGTGTGGGAAGAGTCCCATTCGTCCCTGCTCCCAACTCTCCAGAGTCGGGTGACAGAGCAGACCGCCCCTTAGCCCCACGCTGCTGGACCCGACCCCTGCTCAGACACTGATCCCCAGCAGTTGGTGCAGATGTTCCGGTCAGGCTAAACGGAGAGCGTTAGAAGCTGCAGACGGGGCCACGCACGCCTCCACCTGGTGACCGAAGAGAGTGTGGAAGTCATTTCGCACGGGAGTCGCACGTCTCCTCACGCCCCCACTCCTGCTCCAGGGTCTGCCTGCTGGGGAACCGCACGTTATCGAGACGCAGCTTTGACGTCTGTGCCAAAGTCCACACCACCAACAATGGCACGGGGACCACCACGCTCTGGGGCCTCTTCTGCAACGGCTCCTCGCCCAGCGCCTCCTGCGACGAGTACTTTGCCCAGAACAACCTCACAGAGATTCAGGGCATCCCCGGCGTGGCCAGCGGCGTCCTCCTGGGTGAGTGTCCCGTGGATTCGGCCGGGCTGAGGTGTCCAGAGCCCAGTCTCTGGGAGGCCATCCGGCCTCCCTGTGCGTGGCCGTGCCACCCTCTCCCGCTACTGACTGGCCAGGGCCCCCGCTCCGGCCGGTTCTCCCAGGGCCGTGGATGGCAGCCGTGCTGTGGAGGCCAGTGGTTCAGGGGCTCCAGGTCCATCCTTTTCCTTTAGGACTTCCTAGCAGCTCTGGCAATGAGGGAAGGCACTAACTGGTGGGGGCTGGTTTTTCCTGACTGTTGAGTTCTTCTGTGACAAGAAATTGGGCTGGCTCCCCCACTACACCAGGAGCGAGGCCTCACCTTTTACAGAAAAGGAAGAGGGATATTCCCAGGGCCGTGGTCGCTGGGCCCCCGCCCAGCTGCCTGCCCGGGGGTGGAGGTGGTGTCGTGTGCCCCTCTGAGGCTGTGATGACAGCGTGTGTTGGGGAGTGCGGGTTGGGCTGGGCTGAGATGGTTGGGCAGGTGGGCAGGGCTGCATGTGTGCACACATCCCTCAGCACGGGGGTCCCGATGTTCAGAGGTCCCTGGCTAGGAAGCCCACCCCCCACTTCTGGGTTTTGGCAGAGCAAGCCCCTGGAGGGGGCAGCTGTTTACAGGGCGCACGGTGCGGGGGGAGACAGGGTGCCCTATTTGGAGGGAGCAGGGGCAGGTGGATGGGGGGAGTGAGGCATGGAGATGACCTGCAGGGGCTGGGGGACCCGGTGGCTTTCTTGCTGGAGGAGGGGATCCGTGTCGGGGAGAGGGCCCTGAGGAGACGGGCTCTGCAGCAGGGCCCCTGTAGGGGGTCATGCAGGGAGGGAGGGTCTTCATGGGGCAGGGGCCTACAGGCGGTAGCCTGGCCAGCCTGGGATCTGCCCAGGGGTGCATTTGCACAGGTAGGGGGCAGACCGCGGTGTCACTTCGAGTGTGTGTGGGCCCTTTGTCCATGAGGGGACCTGCACGAAGGGATCAAGGGATCGCTGACCGACTCCCTCCCTGGAGACCCTCCCTCAGAGCCCTAAGGCTGCTTGTCAGGGACGCCCTTGTTCAAGGGAGGTCATTCCTTCACATTTGACTGCAGGACCGAAGTCTTTCACTCAGTGATTAGGTGAACAGTTTCCTCAGAGGTCGGTGTTTGCGTGTGATGTCCTTGTCCTTGTGTGGCGCTGGGGCATGCCGGGCACTTCGGCTGGGCCTCCCTGTGGCGGGAGCGCTGATGGAAGGTTCCAGAGTCCTGTTACCTGTCTGTGTTTCCCCCCACAGACAACCTGTGGAGTGCATACGCGGACAAAGGGGTGTTTGTGGAGAAGAAGGGCACGCCCTCAGTGCCCGTGGCGGAGGAGAGCAGGTCCAGCGGCCTGCCCTACGTCCTCACCGACATCGTGACCTACTTCACCATGCTGGTCGGCATCTACTTCCCCTCCGTGACGGGTGAGGCCTCGGGCATTCCAGGCGGGCCGGAGCCGCCGCCTCCCTCCCTCCCTCCCTCCGCTGTCACACGATCACCCCGTCTCTGCCCGCCCTGCCACGCTCCCCTCCTCCCCCCAGTTTTCTCTACTGTTTGCCTCAAAAAATGAGCAGCCTGTTCCCTGTCTGTTCTGAGTGGGGAGCACAGGAGGCCGTGTGGTTTGAGGGAGGTCTGTTCCATGCTCCCCGAGAGGCCCGTGTTGTTAGAAGTAACCTGACTGCAGTGTGGACCCCTGCGGGGAACACCTGGTGCACTGTTGGTGGCGCCCAGGAGTGGACATGGAGAACTGGTAGTGGCCAGGCACTGCAGCCGTCCTTGTCCTTACAAGAGGCAGCTGACCTTCTGGGATGGCCCTTAGTGTAAGATAGTCTTGTCTCCCCTCACGTGTGAGCACACACATATGTGGACACACACATATGTGGGCACACGCAGGAGGGCCCTTAGTGCATGCAAGTCCCCTGTCCTCCCAACATAGACATGTACACACACACATGTGCATACACACAGCTTCACGTGCACACACGCACTGCTCCTGGAGACCACCACCCCCAGGACACCCTTCAGCCTACCCCCTGCAGAGCCCGAGCCCCCAGCTGCCCCTGACCTGGCCTGGCTTGGGGGCTCAGCAGCTTCCGGCTGTCGGTGTGTCCGCCCCCTGGCCCCACTTCAAGCCCAGCTGCGCTCCAGAAGGCTGGCCTGCAAGGGGCCGCTCACGTCCTCTTTGCACTTGGTTCATCGCAGCTCTCCCTCAAGTGGTGGAGTTTAGAGGTGGGGGAGGTGTTGGCAAGTGCTTGTTTTTCGTTTCCCCTGGAAGACTGGGAAATGGGGTCCCGGACTCACTTTGGCAAGTGTGGGGATTTGGACCCTGGGGGTCTCTGTCCTGTATCCATCTGTCAGTGTGGAACGTGTTCTGGGTGAGTGGGCCTGGAGGGTGGAGAGTGTGGGAACACTCTCTGTGGGTGCAGGTGGCCCCACCACCCGGGCACCCTGCCTGTGGGCTCTGTGCCGGCCCTCCACCCTCCGCCCCCCACCTGGCACTGCCACACCTCTGAGCACGCCAGCACATCAGGTCACGCAGAGCTCACGGGGGGCCGAGCAAACCTGCCGTCAGTTGGCATTTCTGAATAGTTGGAATCATTTTACTTTCTTTTCTTTTGTACTTATTGACTTTAGAGAGTAAGGGAGAGAGAAATATCAATTTGTTGTTCCACTTATTTGTGCATTCCTTGGTTGATTTTTGTATGCACCCTGACTGGGGATAGAACCCACAACCTTGGCCTGTCTGGACGCTGCTCTAGCCAACGGAGCGGCTCAGCCAGGCCCTCGTTTTACTTTATGCACCAAATCCAGTGAGTCTTGAGGGTGTAGGCAGTGACACATCCTTGTGCAGGAGGAAAAAGATCAAACCCGGTGCAGAGCTAATGTGGAGAGGCCTTGAGTTACTTTAGGGTCATGTTCTTACGTGCTTGATCCAGAGCTGGCTTCATGACCCCCAGCCACAGGGATTCGCCCAAATCTTAGAGGGAAGTGAGGTTAGAGTCGGGTGCACCTGGAGGCTGCCTCTGGTTTTGGCGTCAGTGGCAAGCGTCTGGGCTGAGCATTCCTCTGGTCTTGACTGTGACTTAGTTCACGGCTGGTTAGCTGTCCCTATGGAGAGTAGAGGGGACCCCCGCTGGGGGCCTCTCCCCATGTGCCCTGCAGCTGCTGTCACACAGCTACACAGTGATATCTGCCCTGTGCTCTTAGAGGCCCGGAGTGGGGACACTGGCCCGAACAGCTGTGGTCTTCCCCTGCTCGCATCTTCCCAGCGTGGTGCAGCTGAGGTCCCGGGCTGTGTTCGTCCTAGCTCTGCCTCAGACGGGCCTTAGCCAGTGGGGATGGAGTGTTCTAGGTTTTCCTGGTCACAGGTCAGCTTTGCCTGTCTATTTCCACAGGCATCATGGCAGGCTCGAACCGGTCTGGGGACCTCAGGGATGCCCAGAAGTCGATCCCCACAGGGACCATCCTGGCCATTGTGACCACATCTTTCATTTGTATCCTTGAAGGAAGGGGTCAAGGTGTGGGAGGCTCGGGTGCAGGGGCTGTCCATCAGCCCGCCAGGGTGTGAGGGCGCCTGCCCCCGATGCCCTCCGTGGCTCACCACTGTGCCATCAACAGCTTTGGGTGAGCTGCTCTGCTTCAGGTGAGTTCTGACCACAACACCTGTCCTGTGGAGGGGGACCTGGGCAGGTACCAGCCTGATGCGAGAAAATAAAACACAGTACCTGGGCACCATGTCCGTAGTCAGTTATGGAATGTGAAATCGTGCATGAACTACATACAGTAACCATACCACCTGCAATTCGTCACATACATTAGGGACATGTGACTGTGTGTGCATCATGTAATAATCACACACATGTGCATTACCTGGTCTGTTTTACCACGCTGTAGTACAGGCCTTGAGGGGCCAGTGGAGCCTTTTCTCTCACTGAAGTTTGTCCCTTCTAAGTATGTATCTCCTGCAGTGGTCACACTGCAGGCCTGGCATGTCCTCACTGACCTGAGGCCCGTTCTGTGGAGCCAGGACCCAGCATTGAGCAAGGCCCCCGAGGGGCACCAGGACAGGCAGTGCACCCAGTGATTAGGGGTGCAGGGTGGCTCCAGACTGTGGCTAGGGCCCCGCCGCCGGTGCATGGTGTCCGCTGCTTCCTTGATGCGAGCCTCAGACCTGTCCTGCATCGTGCTCTTTGGGGCCTGCATCGAAGGCGTGATCTTACGAGATAAGTATGTTGGTTTTTATGTGCAACTTCTGGAAACTTCTGGGGTCAGAGTCAGCTTTCTGGAATGACGTTAGCTTTGAAATTGAGACCACTGGGGATTTCACACTTCATGTATGGAGCGATAAGCTCCCATGGTCTGTCCCTTTGATGAGGTTCTGTTTGGTGTGATGCATCCACCTCGCCTTCTCCAGCCTGGAGCTGGGGGACCATAGAGTCACCTCAGACCCGGCAGAGCTTGGGGTGCAGGAGTCCCTGGGTGAGGCTGTGGTCACCCCTGCTGGCCCCTCCACTGTGTGGAGGAGTGGCCTGTGCCCCAGGCTGTCGCCCCCCAATCCTGCTTTCTGGTGGTCACGTGTTTTATCAGCCCCTCAGGGCATGAGGGTCCCTGCAGGTCCCTGACAGGGAGGCCGTGGCCACTGCCCATCACTTTTGTGGGGGTGACGGTGGCCTCACAGACCCTGGGCTGGCCACAGCTTCCTTGCTCCTGAGAAGACGCTTGGGGGCAGGACCCGTGCATTTACATGGGGTGGGAGTGGCGTGCCCACTCAGACGCTGGGAAGACACTTAGTCTTTGGCTCACGTTTTGAAAGTCTACCCCACTCCCCACCTCCCACAGGTTTGGGGAGGCCCTGCAGGGGAACCTGGTCATCGGCATGCTGGCCTGGCCGTCCCCCTGGGTTATCGTCATTGGCTCCTTCTTCTCCACCTGCGGCGCCGGCCTGCAGAGCCTGACGGGGGCACCGCGCCTGCTGCAGGCCATCGCCCGAGACGGCATCATCCCCTTCCTCCAGGTGAGCGCGGCTGCCTGCGGGCTGGGGGCTGCGTTGACGGCCCCCTTGTGAGAGCGGGCCCTTGGGAAGCAGCGTGTCCGGAGGGTCCCCGAGGCTCTGTCCCAGAGCACAGTCTTTACGTTAAGGATGGTGGGACCAATGTCCCCACCTCCAGCCCGGCAGCCCCCCATCCCAGGTGGTCACTGGGCTGAGGGCACAGAGTGCGGTGGATGGAGGCAGCCACTCACCACCTGGGCTGGCAGAGCAGTTCTCAGGGGCGACTGGGAGCCTCCACCTCCTGTGGAGTTGGCATCTGGCCTGTCATCGTCCTGTGGGACGCTGTGCCCCAGGACTCCCCCTGTGATGATGATGAGGGTCATGGTGCCTGGAGCCCCAGCTTCCTCCAGCTGGGGCTGACGCTTTCAAAATGAACTTGAGGCCGTTGGTGTGTTAGTGCCCTGGCACCACCATGATGAAGGTCACAGACAGCGTGGCTTACACAACACAAGCTGATTCTCTCTGAGGGCCGGAGGCTGGAAGTCCAGGGTCAAGGCGTCGTGGGGCTGGTTCCTCCTGAGACCTCTCCCTGGGACATAGACGGCCCTCTTCTTTCCTTGTCCTCATGTGGCTGTCCCTCTGTGTGTGTCTGTTCTACTCTCTTCTTATGAGGACCCCAGTCAGACTGGGTCTGGTTCACCCCGGTGACCTCAGTGTCGCTGGGGCCCCGCACCTGCCGTGCTCACCGTAGCTCCCTGAAACCAGTCCCAGCAGACTGGGGTTCTGCACCTTTTATGACTTCTGTCTGCTCAGGAGAGACGAGGCTGTGGCGGGTGTACTGAGGGCACCGGGACCGTGCCAGACCGTGTGTGATGGTCAGGAGGTTAGGCCTTCTGTTTGGGGCGGTGGCCGGGGGTGGCCCCAGTGTCCAGGAGCCCCTCTGACTTACCCCGAGGCTGGGCCAGTGCGGCTGCTTCACCGTGTCTGCATTTTGTTTCTTTCCGTGTGTTTCTTTAACAGACCCTTGGCCAGCAGGGAGTGGGTGGGAAGCATTTCAAGCCTGTGTCCCTGAGCATGAGGCAGACCTTCTGGAAGGTTCTGCGACCCCACATGGCTGTGGGTAAAGGTCCAGGTGCCTTGCAGTGAGATCCTTACAGAATTCTTTCCCCTGGAGGCTGGGCTTAGGACCCCAGGAGACCCCAGTCCAGCACCCTGGGTGTTGCCCTCACCCTGGTCATTGCTGTGGCAGGACCCCGGATCTGACAGTCCCCGGCTGCCGTGTGCCCCGTGAGTTCTGGGTGTCAGGTTTTCTTCCTGGGCCAGTGGATTGGGTGCAGCACATGTTGCAGGAGTCCACCTCTGCGTACGTTGCATCGCTGAGACCCTGTGGGCTGGACCAACCAGCTCGGGGCATTGTTCCTGCGGCCGCCGGCCCCTGGCCCCCAGCCCACGTACCCTTCTCCCTGTAGGTGTTTGGCCACGGGAAGGCCAACGGGGAGCCCACGTGGGCCCTGCTGCTCACCGCCTTCATCTGTGAGACCGGCATCCTCATCGCTTCCCTGGACAGTGTGGCACCCATCCTCTCCATGTGAGCACAGGCTCGGCTAGGGCGTATGTGGACCAGGAGTGGGGCGCAGCTCCCTTTGTGACCACTAGGGGGACATGCTCAGGGGACAACACACAGGGGTGGGCCCAGGGGCCCAGGTAGTTATGGTGTTGGACAGTGATGTGGATGAGAGGGAGCATAGAGACCCCAAGGAGGACACTGATGTAGACGGTGGGACAAGGAGACCCCATGGGAGGGGAGTGACGTGGACAGGGGGACAGGGAGACCCCCACAGGAAGAACGTTGGCTGGGATGAGGGGACGTGAGGAGCTGGTGGGCGGGGACGCCCACAGGACGGAGCAGACCACCGTGGGACCTGGCCAGGGCCCGCTCACACTGCCCCTCGGGTCCCTAGGTTCTTCCTCATGTGCTACATGTTTGTGAACCTGGCCTGCGCCGTGCAGACCCTGCTGCGCACCCCCAACTGGCGCCCGCGCTTCAGATACTACCACTGGTAAGGCAACCTCTGGGAGGGGGCGCACGGCGCGTCTGCGGGTCTGGCTGCTGCAGGGCCCAAAGGCCGCGGCGGCCTGCTTGTCTGTGGTGGAAGAATCAGCCAGGCTGAGGGCGGCGTACCTTTCTTCGTCACCGGGGGCCCCACCGTGTGGCAGACCACGTTATCAGTGTGGGCCCCGGGGCTGCTCCGTCTCGTGTTCCTGGGCATTAGGTGCCGATCTTTGTGCCCAGCGGGGAGCTGAGTGCCTCGGGGAACAGTGGGCATTTGGCGGCGGCGAAGATCCAGGGCTCCAGCGGGTGTCCAGGGTTGTTCCGGCCCTCGGAGCCAGCTGGGGATGGAGAAGGCACTTTGCCAGGCACCCAGCCGTTTTCTAGGAATAACTAAAGGAAAGACTCTCCCTGAGGGACGAGGAATGTTTCTGAGGCAGCTGCTCAGATGCGAGACTGGGGCATGGGGGCAGGTGGCACGTGAGGTGTTGGCCTCAGGGTGTTGGCGGGGGCGTGGACTGTGGTCCCCACCTGCGGCCACCGGCTGACTGCACACTTCTGCAGGACACTGTCCTTCCTGGGCATGAGCCTGTGCCTGGCGCTGATGTTCATCTGCTCCTGGTACTACGCCCTGTTCGCCATGCTCATCGCCGGCTGCATCTACAAGTACATCGAGTACCGTGGGTGAGCTCTGTGGGCCCCGTGGCCGCTGCAGTCCCTTAGTCCCTCTTACGTGTGCTTGCTCTCAGAGTGAGGCCTCCCTGGGGTTTGTAGCCAAGTCCTGTGCAGGGACCCCTTGGACTGGTGGGGCTGGGGTCCCTCTCCTGGGGACAGATGCACAGGGACCTGGGCGGGATCTCTGCTGCAGCCTTCATCATAATGGGTAGAGAGCTGTTTGGGTTTTTTAAGGTAATGATACTCTCTTTTTATAAAGATTTTATTTATTTTCAGAGAGTAGGGAAGGGAGAAAGAGAGGGAGAGAAACATCGATTGGTTGCCTCTGGCAAGCCCCCAGCTGGGGGCCTGGCCTGCACCCCAAGCATGGGTCCCAACTGGGAATCGAACTGGCAACCTTTTGGTTCGAAGGTTGGTACTCAGTCCACTGAGCCACACCAGCCAGGACTAAAAAACCATAATTTTTAAGTGCTTTTTTGAAAACCAAAATCCACCCAATGGCAGCACTGATGTATGATGGATTTCAAAATTTCCGGAAAGCACTTCAGGTTAACTGCATCTCAGAGCCTGTAGTTATTCGCTGGGGTGTTTCCCCAGCCCCCAGGTCCCTGGCAGTGGGGAGAGAAGTGAGCTGGCCAGGTGGTGGGCTGGACGGCCTGGGTGGGCTGCCTGAAGTTCCACCCCAGCTCTCGGGGTGGTTTGGAAGGAGGTGTGGGGGCTGTGATTACTCCTGCTGGTGAAGCCCAGCCCCCTGGAGCCAGCTCTGCCCAGGTCACTGCCTGGCCATCTGAGCGCCCCCGCCACAGCTTCTCCTTCATTCCCCCAGGTGGCCCCAACTCTGAGGTCCCATGCAAGGTGTCGGGACCACCTTCCCCCTACCCCCCACCATTTCCAGCCAGGGTATCCCCTCCCCATGAGCTGTCCCTCCCCACTCTTGGCTGGCCTGGGAGCCCCCTCCTCCATCACAGAAGTGCCCAGAGGTCCTAAGTGAGATAGATCACTGGGCTGCTGCCCAGCGGGCACCTTCCTGAATGGGCTGCCGGGGGTGCAGGGGGCTCACTGCTGCTCCTTCCTCGCAGGGCCGAGAAGGAATGGGGCGATGGCATCAGGGGGCTGTCGCTGAACGCTGCCCGCTACGCCCTGCTGCGCGTAGAACATGGCCCGCCCCACACCAAGAACTGGAGGTGAGTGCCTGCAGCCCACCCCAAACCCTGCCCCTGCCCCTGCCCCTGCCCTCTGATCCCACAGAACACTTGTTTCTAAAGTCAGACTTACAGAGAGAAACTGTTCCTCCTCGTTAGGAAGCGATGTCTCGGAAGCTTCTAGTGCCCTCCCTCAGTCCAGGGTAGGTCAGCCCAGGTGTGGTCAGCTCGTGTGTGATCGGACATCTGAGGGCAGTGCAGGCTCCGCGCCGGGCCTGGACCCTGTGGCGGGCGGGGAACAGGCCCGCTTTCCTCGTGGGGCTGCTGCTGCGGATCCAGGGCTTCCTCACGCAAGAGCCGGGAGGGGCTGGGGCCGGGGGTGCCCCTGTGGAACAGGAACTTAGTCTGCGCAGAAAGCTCTTGGTCTCCCCACCCTGCACCTGCCTGGAGGTGTGAACTCTCAGGGACAGGAGCTGCCCACGGGGGTTTTCATCAGGGAGCCTCGGGCTCTGGGGCGGGGGCGGGGGTTGCTCCCAGGAGATGTCTGACTATTCACTGGTCCTACCTGTTTACCTGTCTCACCTGTCCCACCTGTTTATATCTGTTTATCTCTCCCATCTGTTCACCTCTTTCACCTGCCCCACCTGTTCACCTATTTCATTTGTCTGCCATTTCTCACCTGGCCACATGTGAGTGTGTGGCAATGAGTTGCCATGGTAACTGCTGTCCCCGCACAGGCCCCAGGTGCTGGTGATGTTGAACCTGGATTCGGAGCAGTGTGTGAAGCACCCCCGCCTGCTGTCCTTCACTACACAGCTCAAGGCTGGCAAGGGCCTGACCATCGTGGGCTCTGTGCTGGAGGGGACCTACCTGGACAAGCACACGGAGGCCCAGCTGGCTGAGGAGGTGGGTCAGCGCGTGCTGGGACCGGGGTGGCCTGGGAGGAGCTGAGGGCTGCACACGAGGGCCTTCCGTCTCTACACCCCAGGCACAGTGCTGCGTGTCGGGCTGTCACGCTCATCAGGAAAGACAGTGCTCTTTGAGTTTGAAACGTGCAGCACAGAAACCTGCCAAAGAAATGCCCGCAACACGCGAGGCCCCCGAGGCCTGAGAGAGACAGCCACGTGGTGGGGGTGCAGACTCGGTGCCCAGGGCTGCGTAGCTCCAGCCTTAGGAACGTCCTCCTGACGGGCAGGGCCCTCGGGAGCCCTCAGGACGGTCTGGCTCCAGCGCGTTTCCTCTGTGTTAGCGGTCCCTGTGCCGCTGGGTTTGCCTGCTCGGAGGCTCTGGGGTCTCAGCGAGGGCAGGGGGGGCATGACTGTAGCCCACTCTGTGAGTGCCCTTCAGTGAGTGTGACTCATGACCGCCCACGGGGGGCCTGACATGCTCTAGTCAAGTTTTCAACAAACCTGTGAAGTAGCTGTCGGTTCCACAACGACGTGCATCAAAGAACCATGTCGAGTTCTGTGCACAGCACTGACCGTCACCGTCACCCCCCCTCCTGCACACACATGGCCGCACGCACACACAGGCGGTCCCACAGAGCCTCTGGCCTTCCCTGCGGCAGTGGTGTCGGTGTGGGGTGTGCCCAGCGCTGACCTGGCCCCCTGTGGTGGGTTGGTGGGGCTGGCGGTGCTGCTCCCGGTCGGCCCCATGGGCGCCGCAGCACTGACCCCTGACCTCTCCCCAGAACATCCGGTCCCTGATGAGTGCCGAGAAGACCAAAGGCTTCTGCCAGCTGGTGGTGTCCTCCAACCTGCGGGATGGCATGTCCCACCTGATCCAGTCGGCCGGCCTGGGGGGCATGAAGCACAACACGGTGCTCATGGCCTGGCCCGAGTCCTGGAAGGAAGAGGACAACCCCTTCTCCTGGAAGAACTTCGTTGGTGGGTAATGTCTCCCACAGGCTGTGGGTGTCGGGGTCTCTGGCTTGAGAGGTGCTCCCTGCTGGCCCTTTGGGGGCCCCAAGCTGTGCTGTTTCACTTGAAAACATCTGAAAAGTGAACAGCCATTTGAAAGCCTTGAGCTGTCCTCTCCCTTCCTCCCGATGATGCCCCAGTTCTGCCGTCCCTGGGGAGGGGCTGGGCTGGGCCCCCGAGTCCCTGTGCTGGCTGTGGAGCTGCTGATGGAGCGAGGAGGACGGCCTCCGGGGCCTGCCGCTGCGGGGGGCTCTGCGGGGACCCTGTGCCCACCTCCTGCGCTGGCTGGTGCCCAGCGGGTTCACGGGGTGTGTAGTTCTGTCGAGGCCCCGCTGACCCGTGTGCTGCCTCTCCACAGACACTGTGCGCGATACCACGGCGGCCCAGCAGGCCCTGCTGGTGGCCAAGAACGTGGACCTGTTCCCACAAAACCAGGAACGCTTCAGTGACGGCCACATCGACGTGTGGTGGATCGTGCACGATGGTGGCCTGCTGATGCTGCTGCCTTTCCTGCTGCGGCAGCACAAGGTGGGCGTGGGGGTCACGTGGGGCAGGTCACAGGTGGGGGGTCACAGGCCATTGGGGTCACACCATGGGATGGCCCTGGGGAGATCACCTGATTTGGGGGGTCGGAGGGGCCTGTGTCCCCTGAGGTGGGCAGTGGCGGCCAGCAGCATCAGAAACTGCCCTGAGTGCGCATGTCTCCTCTCCCCCACCCTCAGGTGTGGAGGAAGTGCCGCATGCGCATCTTCACGGTGGCCCAGGTGGATGACAACAGCATCCAGATGAAGAAGGACCTGCAGACGTTCCTGTACCACCTCAGGATCAGCGCGGAGGTGGAGGTGGTGGAGATGGTAAGGGCAGGTGGGCCAGGCTGCTGGCTGAGCCTGTTCGCAGTTGGCGTAGTTCTGGACTGGCAGGCACGTGGGGTGGAGCAGGGCCCCTGTGGGCTTGGTGCCGATGCTGCACTCCGAGGGCCAGCTCTGGGCGTTGCTGCACCCCCCCCCGCCCCGCCCCGTTCCAGGCGGTCAGCGTCTGCCTGCGTTGTTCCTCAGCATCCATCTCCATTCAGGACCCCGCCCTGCACTCCCTCCTCTGGGCTGTGCCAGTTCCTGTTTTGTTACTTATAACCTTGGCAGTTTAGGTGGGCCTAGGTGTTTTGTGGAATGTCCCCCAGGTTAGACGTGCCTGATGTTTCTCTCATGGCTGGGCTGGATTTTGTTCGTGGGAGGAAGACCCCGGAGGTGGTGTGCCCTCCCCTCTGTGGCACGTCCTGTGAGAGGAGTGTGACATTCACCCCCTCACAGGTACCGAGGACCTGGGGTCCGGCCTCACCCGCTGGTGCCCACTTTGGGAAGTCCAGACTCTGCTCTGGAAGTGCGTCCCCAGGTCCCCGACCCCAGGACGGGGCTCAGCGGTCAGGGTCTGCTCTGCGTGCGTCTCTGTGCGTCACGCAGGTGCATTCGTGTCTAGAGCTCCCGCTGCATTGCCCTCGGGTGTTCAGCACACTGTTCATTCTGTTGCTCACGTTGTCCAGCCTTGGCTGCGGGTACATCCTCCACGTGGCTCCTGCGTCCCTTCGCTGTCGTCCCCCGTCCTCCTATAACCATCCATCAGCTACCTCGCCTGCTTTAAATCACCTGGAGCCAAACAGAACGAAGAGCCGATGGCCTGGCCCCCATCTGAGGCAGGCGCAGAGGCCTGCAGCCAGCATCGCAGTTTCTGAGGGACTGGTTGTTCTTCTGTTTCAAAGCCCTGGCCCTCATCAGCTTCCCAAGTGGGTTAGTTGGTGCCATTTAGTTAACAGTAACATTGTCAAAATCTACAGTTCTGCTTGATTTCAGTCATGATTGCTAATTAGGCTTAAGTAGGCAGTGTCTATTGTTTAGGCACATAATTGGGTTTCCTTTTTGAAAGTGAGAGCAGCCCTGCTCCTGCCTGGGACCACCCTGCTGCCCACCCATTGGAGTGGTAGGCCCTGGGGCGCTGGCAGTTGTGGCGAGCACTCCCGTGCGAGGAAGAGGCCGTGCCTGATGTCGTTAGTGCGGTCTCTCCTAACCCTTCTGCGGCTTCTGGCATCTTCTTCAGGTCAGCCTCCTCCCTCCAGGGCTTGCAGGACAGAGAGGGTCCAAGATGCTGCTCTCACGTGGAGCTTTGTGCATTGGGAGCCTTGTTCGCAGAGAGCGAGGGCCTGGGGTGTCCCTGGCAGCCGCCAAGCCTGGGGCTCTGGGGTCCGCAGGAGGCAGTGGGCCCACGGCGGGGCCCACGGGGGGCCCTGGACCTGAGGGGAGTGTGTAAGTGAACAGGGAGGGGAAGCCAGTGGTCAGAGGCTAAAATTGAGCAATTATAAACCAGAGCCACTGATTAGGAAGGAGGTCTTCCTGGCTAGCAGGCTTCAGAAAGACCAGAGTCAGGAGCGTGAACCGTGAAGCATCAGCACAAAAGAGCTTAGGGTTTTGTTAAGACTTTTCTTAAAACGAGTAGATTTTATTAAGAGTGTCAGGGAGGAGCATCACAGACGTTTAGCTAATGCACTCAAAGAGCACCCAAGCCCAAACCAGCTCGCTGTGAGTGCCGAGGGTTAGTGAGTCCGGCGGTTGGGTTAGCGGGCCATCCGTCCGCAGGGGCCTGGCCTCCTGGACACTGACAGTGCAGCCTTCAGTACCAGAAATGAGGGTGTTTATTATTCTGCAGAGGATGCTTTAAATACCTGGAAAAAAAAACAAGAAAATAAACATTTTATTCAGTGGGAATTTAGTAGAGTGGACTGGTAAGAATTAATTTTCTCACATGGTGACTCACGAGAAAGTGTCAGGGAATGACATCCAGCTCACAGAGCCCTGCGGCCGGGGGCACAGAGCTCCACAGAGGTCCCAGGGGCAGCTCTCCCCGGAGCCGAAAGGGCTGAGGGGGTGGTGCACCCCCAGGGACAGGGAGGACCCAGCACCGCCCACTGAAGGACGGGCCAGTGTCAGGAAAGGACCAAACTCTGTGGTCGGTGGGCGCGTTGCACACGTAGCCTGCAGAGGGTGAGACCAGGAGGGAGGAGGCGAGCGGCCTGTTTCAGCAGTGGCTCAGACACCAGGCAAAGCCCGTGACCTGTGGTGAAAACGTCGTCTTGAGTCACTTCTGTGCCCCGGGACGTTCTAGGTGGAGAACGACATCTCCGCATTCACCTATGAGAAGACGCTGGTCATGGAGCAGAGGAGCCAGATGCTGAAGCAGATGCAGCTGTCCAAGACGGAGCGGGAGAGGGAGGTGGGTGCTGGACTCCCCTCAGTTAGAGGCGGTCAGTCACATGGGCGATGGTCAGTCACATGGGCGATGGTGCAGAGTGGGACCCTGTGCTTCTGAAGACCCCGCAGAGCTGCTGGGACCAGGTTTTTGGAGGTCACTTTGAGCTGGCCTTCTCCATCCCTGGGTTTGCGAATGGCCAGGTGGCCTGACTTCTACCTCCACCTCCTCTCCTCACATGGGTCACGGCCACACAGCCCCACTGGCCCTCTGGACCACACCCAGGCCGGGTTCGAGGACTGTGTCACCCCTGGTCTCCCACACACTGTTTACTGAGAGCTGTCCCAGCCACACACAGCTCCCTCCTCTTTTGCGTCATCTCCTTCTCGAACCACCATGGTGGCCTAATTGGTCACCCTCTGTCCCTTTCATCCTCAAACCAGCAACCACAGTGAGTCCTTAAGAGCCAACTTGTTAATCCCTCCCCCAGGCTCCATGCCTGCCTCACACAGGCCCCTCCAGTTTCCCACTGATGCTGGCTCATGCCCTGAGCCCACCTCATCCGCACAGGCCTCCCCCATTTCCCTCTGGCCATCGCTCAGCGCCTTCTCTGCATGCAGGCCTCCTGGGGTACTTTGGGAAATGCCATAGCTGCTTTCTCCCACACCACACCCATCCCAAAGCATAGGCTTCCTGGCAGCCCCTGTGGTGTTGACAGATGAATGGGTAGATGAATGAATGAATGGGTGAATGGGCAAATGAGTGAGGGGATGAGTGGATGAGTGATAGAGAAGATGATGAGTAAGGGGGTGAATGAGTGAATCCAGGAAGGAAGGAGGGATGGGTAAGGAGATGAATGAATAGGTAAACGAGGTGATAGATTAGTTCGTGAGTGAGCGGGTGGATGAGCGAGTTGGGAAGTGGAGGTAGCACGTGGGGCAGAGACTTTCGGGCATGAGCATACCCTTGCGTCAATATGGAGTCCTGGGTTCTTTCTCAGTGGCTTTCAGAGCTGGGGCCAGAGGAGCCAGAGAAGGAAGTGATGAGTTTGGTCTGGAAGCCCAGGAAGAGGAGTGACTGGTGGGAGTTGGGGCAACGCTGCGGCCCCAGCTGGGAGACCGTCTGGGGGTCCCTGGGTTCTGTGGGTCACGAAACCCTCTTGGTTCCGTGGGCCAGCAGCCTCTCCCTCCGGTGCTTGCCTCTTGCCGGGGAGGTTTGGAGACCTGCTGCGGTGAGTCTTAACGCTGCCCTGCCCTCCCGCCAGGCCCAGCTAATTCACGACAGGAACACTGCCTCCCACTCTGCGGTGGCTGCCAGGTCTCAAGCCCCGCCCACACCGGACAAGGTGCAGATGACCTGGACAAAGGAGAAGCTGATTGCCGAGAAGTATAAGAACAAAGATAACACTGTGTCCGGGTTCAAAGACCTCTTTAGCCTGAAGCCGTGAGTGTTAACCTGGTGACCGGGGTGGCGGGTCCCAACTCCCTTCGCTGCCCATGACAGGGCAGCAGGCACGCAGCTGCAGCTGCAGGCCTGGAGGGCAGGGAACCAGCCCAAGGGCCACCGTGTTCTCTCAGGCCGGCTAGCCGGGGCCCCGGGCAGCAGCCTGGTCCCTGTTCTTGGTGGGTCACACAGCAGCTTGAAATTAGGGCTTCTAGATGGATGAGAACTCTGGCTCGGACCCTGCCGATGATGCAGGCTGCCTGTCCGGGGTGCCCGTGGAGGGCACGTGTGGCTGGGTCCCAGGGAGGGGTCTGGGTTAGAGTCACCGTTACACAGCCCCGGGGCCCCAGGATGGGAGAGCAGGGCAGCACCTCCCTGGGTTCTTCAGTGGGGGGGCTAGACCCTAAAGCCCGGCTTGTCAGAAGGGGCCTGGAGTCTTTCCAGTGCTCCTGGGGGTGAGGACCCCTTGCAGAGAAAGGCCAAGGTAGGCCAGCCAGAGAGGGCAGCCTGGGGTGAGCCCACAGTTGATGAAGAGTGTGCGCCACGGTCACTGCTGAAGTAACATGTTCTCTGTGTTTTCTCTTCCATGTAGAGAATGGGGAAACCTGTAAGTCACTTGCGCGGTTTAGGACTCCTGTTAGCCTGCGCGCCTCGCATGCCTGGCCCCTGCGCCCCTCGTAAACCGTGTGCTTAGCTGTGTGTGCACGTGTCCCAGTGTGTGCGTGCGTGTCCGTGTGCAGGCAGAGCTTGCTCGTTGCTGCTGTAGCTTTCAGTAATTTCCTGTGGAATTCGTTCCTCTCTGTTCGGAGTGGCTCACGGCACATTCCTGAGACTCATTCTCTGAATACCACGGGAGAACTGGAGACCGGGGTGGGTTGGTCCTGAGCCAGCTCCGCGCGAGCAGCAGCAGCACGGGTCTCAGCAGCTGTTAGTCGGTTCATCCACATCCCTGGATCACAGTGTTCAGATACGAAACCTCAGTTGTGTGGGGACAGAATTGGCCGTGTTCCACCCACCAGACACCTTTTCAACCCATGGACGCTGCTGTCCTTTAACGGCCATGTGCTGTGGATGTGGATGAACTTTCTGCATGGTCAGACCAGGGCTCAGCTCCATGGCCAGGGGCCCAGGGCCGGCTGGCTGAGGAGGAGGGGGCTCTCCCTGAGGCTGCCGGTGGTCCATCTGTCCATCCCTCTTTCTCTGTCTGTCACCTCCCTGACTGCCCCAGGAACTCTGGGCTATTTTCTCCTGGGGTGGAGCAGCCCGAGGCAGTGTCCACAGTGGAACTCTGGGGACTAGATGGCTGCACTTGCTTTTTTTACCCCAAACCTGAGTTAATTCCATGACAGTGTTGGTCCATTGAGGGAGCAAGCATGTGGGCGTGTCAGGGAGACTGCGCTCGGGGCCTACACAGGGCTGTACTTCCTGCTGTGTTTTTCTGTAAATTTAAAACCCCTCCCGATAAAATCTACAAATGAAAAAAACACAAATGTGTCGGCACAGGATAGGTTTCTCCCTGAACCACAGTTGGATTGTGGGCCTGCGGAGACTCCAGTGCCCACGTGGCACACTGGGGCTCAGGTCTGGGGCTCTGTGCACCCCAACCCCGCCCCCTTGCACTGAGCAGGGTCAGAGTGGACCCCTGCAGGCCTGGGGACTCAGAAGACTGAACCAGGAAGGGGCTATTTCACGGACAGAACTAAGCATGCAGGTGGACATTCCTCTGGGCCCTCCTCAGGGTTAGGCTGGGAGAAGCTTCTGGAAGGCGGGAGGTCAGCCTATACCTGACATATGTGTGATTTACTGTGACATTCCCCAGGGCACACGCATTTGGGGGTGGTTTGCGGGTCCTCTGGGGTGATCGTGCGTATCTTTTTTCTGTTTCCCAGTCCCCCTCACCATGTTGCCACCAGGAACCAGAATCTCCCAATGTGACTCACTCCCGCCCCCACCCCGCACCCCTGACCCTACCTCCCAGGTTCGGAAACCCTGTGGTGAACGTCCCCACCCCCGGCAGAGTCAGCGTGTGTCTGACGCATCTCCAGCTCGTGGACCGCAGGGCAGGCTCTCAGGGCGAGGACGAGGCACGTGGTCCCCATCCGTGCCGCTGGCGCCCATCAGGGGCGCGTCGTCCTGGAGCCGCAGGCCCTCCAGACCCAACCCTCTGATTTTAAGATTATATGTGTTTTCAGACTCTTAACCCTGAGAGATCCTTTAATATCTCACACACGCATTTCTAGAATTGCTGCCGTCCCCACACACAGTGGTAATTTTGGCCTCTCGAGGCACCTAATTCATGGTTGTTGCGATGCGAGGCCCCAGCTGTGCCACGGACAGAGACCCAATCTCTAATTTCATCAGTCGGAATGGGAGGGAGGAAATAAAGGGTCTGTGTCCCTCTCTTCCTCCCGGTAATAATTGGTGGTTGTAGTCGGATTTATTTGGCTGGAGGGTCGAGTTGATCAAAGGGTGCGGCCTGGGCGTTCATCCTGCAGGCCTTTCCCTGACCCCTCTTGTGCGGCCTCTGTCTGTCCGCCCATCCCTCTCGTGTCGGAGGCACTGTGACCTCGCAGAAGGGCTGCAGCCGGCCTGCCCAGGCTGCGTTTCTGAGGCTGGCCATGGATTCCCTGTGTGTGACCTCCGAACCGTCCAGCACAGGACGATGCAAATGCTTTGAGGCGGGCAGAGCTCCCAGGACGGCTTCTCCTGGGTGCTTCCTGGAGCACAGTTCCCCAGGGAGGGGACCCCCCGCCACCTGGCTGGGGACCCGTGAGGTCCTGTGGAGTTGCCTGAGCGCCTGGGTGTGCGGCGGGTGTGGGTCTAAAGTCTCCCTAGTCTTACTTAGCTGGGGACCCTCTCGGGGGCCACTGCTGGACGTGGGAAGTGTCAAAGTACAGTGGGCCCTTTGCCTCCTTGGAGTGCGGAGAACTGGGGAGTCAGCGAGGACTCGAGGCACAGGGTCTGGGTTGCTGAGCACTGGAAGCTCTTCTGTAGCAGGAGCCGAGAGCAGCAGCATCTGGGAGGGCTGAGAGCAGGATGGACCTTCACGGTGGCCACATCCTTAGCCAGGGTCTAAGGCTCTGCTACAAGACTTAAGACAGCAGTGGGGGTGGAGGCCAGGTGCAGGAGCCTGGTTCCTTCCCCACCACCTCTGGGCTTCGTGGGCCCCACCCAGCCTGTATCGGATGAGCGAGAGGTTGCCATGTGTACAGTTTAGCAGACCTGCCACAGGGCAGTGTTTAAAGCAAGGTTTGGCCACAACTCCAGGGACTCCAGTGGGAAACAGTTTGGAGCCCCTGGGTGTGTGAGCACCTTTCTGGGCCCAGGCAGCAAGCTCGCCCCCAAAGCATTCGCCTCCGCCTGTGTGGACAGCCGCTTGTGAACTAGAAGCTCGGCAGCTTTAGTGACTCTCAGCCCAAAGCGTTTGGAGGCCAAAGCGCTCTGGCTGCTCAGTACCCCCTCCCCTGTCCCCTAATCCCCAGCACGATTCTCCTGTGGAATCACCTCCCATGGAGCTTTCGGGACTGTGAATCCACTCGAATCGACTCATTTCTACTCAGCCCTTTCTAACCAGGGTGAAGTAGGGCCGGCCGGGGCTCTGACCCGGACTGGTGCCCAGCGTCACGGGCTGGGGTGCAGAGTGACCGTCCCCCCTTTGCAGGAACCAGTCCAACGTCAGGAGGATGCACACGGCGGTGAAGCTCAACGGTGTCGTCCTGAATAAGTCCCAGGATGCCCAGCTGGTCCTGCTGAACATGCCAGGGCCCCCCAGAAACCGGCAGGGGGACGAGAACTGTATCCTTTCCTGGGCTCAAGCCCTGGGGCAGGGGGCAGGTGATGCGGGTGCTGGGCTCTGAGCACCCCTTGGCTGGCTCCCCAGGTGTTTCCCTGGGGCCTGTGGGCACCTGTGTGTGACTCCATCTCTAGGATGGCCCGGGCCTGGGGTGATGGGTCCACGGGTCTCTGCCAAGGCTCAACTCTGGGTGCTCTTGGCACCTCACTGCCCCTTGAACACCGTTCTGCCCATCGAGCCCTGCATCCCCACATGGGCCCCCCGGTCCCTCCTCGTTGCTCAGGGTGTGCCACCCAGACAGAGTAGGAGGCTGTGACTTCAAAGGTCACCCATTAGCCCTACCCCAGACTTCGTTGTCAGCCCCTAAATGTGTGTCAGCTGCCACATGATGTAGGGGACAGATCCTCACACAGGCTCCATCCAGGTTGCTGGAGGTCTGTGGTCTGGGGACCATCCCCTGGGGTTTAGCCCCTACCACCCTCTGGGGGCATGGGTGGGGTCAGCAGGAGGTCAGCAGCTTGGCTCTTCGATTTAAGCCTCCAGCTGACCACAAGTTAGGAAGTCACATCTTGGTTACCAGGACATCCCGGCCTATGTGGGCGTCTTGGTGGCTAGTGGACGTGTCAGTCAGGCACATCCCTTCTGGTGGGTCTGCACCCAGAGCCCCGGGTGCAGGCAGGGTTTCCTCTAGGGCACAGGTGGCGAACACCAGGTCTGCGGGCCGAATCCAGCCCTCCACCTTGTTTTATCCGACCCGGCATCTTGTTTCTACCCAGTGGCAGTGCTGAGCTCTCGCTCAGAGTAGTTACGTTTACACAGTCCTAAAATTACATTCAGCCCTTGGAAGGCAACCTTGAGGCTGGTGTGGCTCCCAGTGAAAATGAGTTTGACACCCCTGCTGTAGGTTCTAAGGCCACTTGCATTGAGTGGAGGCCTCTTGTTGGGTGGGGTCAGCGCCTCTGGTTGTATTCCTGGGACCCCTCCCCTGCCCTGGGCCCCTTTCTCACCCTCACCTCAGAGACCTGGGGTCGGGCTTTCCTGACTTAGCTCTCACCTTCTTTCTCAAACCAGTTCCTAATGACACAGGACCCTGAATAGGTCACTCTCTCCACATTTTACACGTGTGCCATGAGATCCCCTGTGGCCTTAACTCAGTCTACCCCAGATATGGAGTTCCTTGAGGTCCTGACTGAGGGGCTAAACAGGGTCCTGCTGGTCAGGGGCAGTGGCCGAGAGGTGATCACCATCTACTCCTAACATCTGGCCGCTCTGGAAGCACGCTGGGCAGACCTGGGGATGGTGCTGCACACACAGGCCAGTGGCCTGATTTGCCAGCGTGGCTTCCTACGGAAGTTTCTAGAACACCACTGGGCTCTCCTGTCTAGGCTGAGAACCAGCGCATGACTGAAAGGTCTCCTCGAGTCGAGGAGATGACACACCCTCGGTGTTCTGTGTGCTCCCGAGGGAGGCTTCTAGTGCCCGGGGTACAGCTGTCCCTCCCGTGGGGCCATGTGCTCTGCCTCCGGATTCTGGAATTAATTCCCCTTGGCTGCGCCTGCTGGGTCTGTTGTGGCGGTCGCATTGTAGTTCTTCCCCACCCAGGACATTCACAAGAAGCCACATGCGGACTGAGGTTGGCCTTTGGGCCATTAGGATCCATTTATAATGGTGAAAGGTCAGCCTGTGGCTAAGAGCTCAGTACATGTTCATTAGTCCCTGATCTCTCTGTCCTTTGAATATCCTTGTTTATGCTTCCGTACAGGCAGGGAGGCCAGCTGACCACTCCCACTTCCCCGGGCTCAGCCAGTTGGCCTCAGTCAGGTACCCGCCTTGTTGGGGACAACTGGTAAGGGAACCTAGTCGTTGGGGAGCACAGAGTGGCCATCCAGCTGGGTTTGTGCTCCAGGAAGCTCTTGAGGGAAAGAAACCCCAGTGGAGGAGCCCCCTGAGCCCAGGTGTGTCTGGGGACTCCAGGCTTTCATAAGTGCTGGTGGGCCCAGCCCAGCGGGCACCTCGTTTCTGAGACGCAGAAACGGTGAATGCCGAGAGCTCACACCTTCGGGCCCACAGGCACACCACACAGTTCAGCTTCTGACGTGCACTCGCTCCTTGCACCTCCACGTCCACACCTCACACCCTGGGGCGGGGCGCCGAGGAAGCCTGTGCCCCTGCCCTGCACGGAGGGGATGGCGACAGCCCCTTCCAGTGATCTGTAGACTTTGCACTTTACCTTGTGGTCTTTCTGCTTGGGGTCACGATCATGCTCACGGTAGTAGATGCTGCAGTAGCTTCTGCCTCACTTACTGTGTGGCTTATTTATTTGTTCCAACACCCGGGCATTTCAATGCCAATCGTCCACAAAGAGATTGTGTCTGTGAAACAGGCCCAAAGGACCAGGCCCTCAGCTTTCTCACGCTTCCATTCGCTCCCAAGGGAATTGGCCCGGGCTGCGGATTTCGTGCTAGGGTGAAGGCTAAGCATGCATTTCCAGACATTTCTGAGGAGCCATCAGGCAGCCGAGAGGGCCTGCATCGCCATCAGAAGGACCACTGGCCAGAGCATGTGCCAAATAGCCACAGCCGGGCTGGGGGTGGAGTGTGCAGACTTCTGCCGACCCTGGTTCAGCACTGAGTTGAGAGAGACCCGCCTCACTCCTGGCTGCGTGGTGAGGATCCGAGTGTCTGCCCCGCCTCCCGTTTGCAGTCTCTGAGCACCTCATAGCCTCTCCGCACTGAGCTTTATGTATCTTTAACGGCAGTCAGTACAAGTGGATACTGTTTTCCTTTTATAGGTTCCTTGTCTTTGTATGATTTTTGTTAGAAGAATAATAAAATTCAATGAAATCTATGTTGAAGAATCTTGTCTCATTCAGCATAAAAATTAGACAATTGCACAAAATGCCCTCGCCCCCATGCCTCCCTTCTTTCTGAGGGGTCTGCTGAAATCGCTCAGTGTGTAGTTTCAGGATGGAATCAGCAAGTGAAACCTGTGATTGGAAGGGACCCCTCGTTACACACAGGCTCACAGGGAGACCACGCCCGCCGGGACGGAGGGGACTCCTGCACTGTGCGAAGGTATGAGGGGAGGTTACTGTGGAAACTGTTGAAGCTCCTCTCAAAGCTCCTGAAACTGTTAAACAGAGTCACCGTGTGACCCGGCAATGCCACTCCTGGGTGCACAGCCGAGAGAAACGTCTGTCTACGTGAACTGACAGGCCCGTGTTCATAGCAGCCCTGGTCACACCAGCCGAGCTGTGGGAACAGCCCAAACACCCACCTGCTGATAAGTGATTAAAAATGTAGACCCATTCACTGGAATAAAATTCAGTTGTTGAAAGGAATGACATTCTAACGTCCCACCCTAGGGATGAGCTTGTGAAAGAAGCCAGCCGCAGGTGAACTGTGCCGTATGGTGGGATCCGGACAGAGTGGATTGTGGTGAGTTAGTGACTGAGTGGGCACGGGGTTCCTTTAGGGGCAAAAACGATCTGAAGTGTTCGTGGTGAAGCTTGCAGTCTGTGAGTGTGCAGGAAACTGAATGCCGTGCAGTGAATGAGGTGTGTGAACCGTCTGCCGTGCCTCCTGGGGACCTTGGGGGCAGTTGGACACGACTGTGGGAGAGTGACCCTGAGAGTGGAGCTGCCCTCAGTCTCTGCTAGGGGTGCTCACACCCATGACCTGGAGTACAGGGGCCTGGCCTTTGGGGCAGGAGCAAGGGTGCCATGGGACTGGAAGGACCAGGCTGTATGGGGGGCCAGCAGACTTGAGGGAAGATGCGGAAGGGCTCCAGGGTCATGACCACACACCCATGGGCACCCACAGAGCAGGTTCAGCGCAGCACAGAGTCCTCGGCCTCAGACTCACTGTGGCACCTTCACACTGGACAGCCCTGGAAAGGGGTACAGACACGAGAGACACCAGAGCTCCAACTTGATGTGAGAGGCAAACCCAAACTGCCAGCATGTGACAGGACTGTGGGTGTGTGTCAGCCACCCCTCACAGTGCCCTGAGTGCCCTGCAGGAAGCCCACGGCCCCTTCTGAGGCTTCGACTGCACTTTCCCACAGTGGGCAGGTACCTCCTTGCTGGGTGGGCTGCCAGCACCTGACCCAACTGGGTGCTGCCGCCTGTGTCTCACCCTCCAAAGGGGCCCCTTCCGCCCTGGGGGCTGCTTTCCCTGTGGCAGCCCCACCTGGGATGTGGACCCTGGGTGCGGTTGGCCTCTGGGCCCCACTCAGGACCACCTGTCCCTCCACTCCCACATGCAGACCCTTGGGGCCTGGCCAGCACAGCCCGTCCACTCTGGCCCCGGGCCTCCCCAGTCTGTCATTGCTGGGGCCTCATGTACACCTCCTCAAACCCTGTTTTCACTGGGACTTTGTCAGGCGCTCAGGACAAGAGGGTAGCTCTGGCTTGTCTGTCTCTTGGTTTTCCTTCACTAACCTTGTTCCCCAAGTGAGCGGCAGATGAAGGTGCAGGAGACGGGACCAAGAGGTCTCGGGACAGCGCTCACATCTGCCCGCACAAGCATGACCACTGTGGAGAAGGGGGCCAAACAGATGACCACCCACCAGATCCCAGCACAGTCATCCATGCAACGTCCCTGGAAGTTCCATCTCTGTATCATCTGCCCAGGAACTAACGGTTAACGTGTGGGAACATCTGCACCAGCTTTACTCATCTGCCAGGTGCTGTTTGCATTGCGGAAGTCACAAGGTGCACTCACAACGTGAGGAGACGAGGTGTGTGATCCCTGCCCACCAGAGGTCGCCACTGCCCGCGGGAGCTGGTGTGATGGACTTGCACAGGTGGGCCAGGCAGTGGTTATCTCCATCTGGATGATAAGTTTCCCTGCTGCGTGGGCTCACAAGCAGCAGACACACTCAGCGTCCAGTTTTTAAAACCAGGGTCTAGTGTCAGAGGCTAGAGTTCAAGCCTCACCCCACTTCCTGCTAGTCAGCCTGCTGAATGCCTACCGAGATCTGTGGCAGGGCCACAGAGGGCTGCTGGGGTTCTTTAAATGAGCTTCCCAAATGTGGGGCCAGGTGCAAGAGCTCCACAAACTGAAGAATGGACCCAGGTCAGATGACAGGTGTTTCTGTGAAGACCCAGTGCTGACGGTGTGGGAGTCTCTGTGCAGGATGCACGTGAGTGGGGCAGCCAGACGCCAGCTGAGTCAGGCTGATGGTCTGAAATACCTGAGATGTGAGTGCTCCTGCCTCACAGACCCTAGGAACCCTCAGTTCTCCCTCACCCGTGGCCTCAGCTCACGGACACCAGTGACTTGGAAGTCTGGAGGAGCTTTACCATGGCCAGACAGGGACATGATGGCAAAAGGGAGGAGACAGTTGCAAATGACACACCAGCTCCTCCACAGTCTCATCACGGAGAGCCCAGCATCTCCGTGAAACCCGGATCCACACTGCCCCAGACAGTGGCCTGAAGTGTCCCATTAGCATAAACCCAATTTGGGGCTTAGGTTTTGGGTGTTTTTATTTTTTAGAGCAGTAAAGTGGAGGGGAAAAATTACTCGTAAGTCTGGAGTTGTGTATTAATTTTCCTTCCATAAACATCTGTATGAACAGATATAGACTCGCTCTCTGTGCAGCATGAGCCCCCAGCTCACTTTGGCCCTGGCTGGTGTGGTGCAGTGCATTGAGCACCAGCCTGTGAACTAAAAGGTCGCTGGTTCAATTCCTGGGCAGGGCACATGCCTGGGTTGCAGGCCAGGTCCCCAGTTGGGGGTGCGTGGGAGGTAATAGATCATATTGATATTTCTCTCCCTCCCTTCCCCTCTCTCTCTAAAAACAACAACAAAACATCTTTTAAAAAAATAACTCATTTCAAAACAGTGTAGCATATTACAAAATGCATATTTTTATTATGCCTGGGGGAAAAAAACCTCAATTACAAGGCGACCACCAATTTGCTTGATTCTTGAAAACAATTCCATGAAGGTGAATGCAAAACCACCTGCCCAAACTCTCAAGTTGCCAGGAAGTCCACTTGCTCATCCCGGAAGGAGGAAGGAGCAGCCGTGCCCTGCCACAGGGGGCCGCTGCCAGCCAAGGTTCTGTGACCCTCAGACACCGTCACTGCCCCTTTCCCTAGAGGGACCACACTGTGTTTTCTGCAGGCGGACACCACGGAAACTGCCGTGAGCGCTATGATGCTGTATGTGTGAGCCCAGAGGACACACGTCCGCCTCCTGTCCAGCGGACTGTGCGTGTGTTTGAGATAGAAACTACCACCCCACCGGCCCTGCTGTCCACGTCTGTGTCCACTTAAGATGCTGGTGCCGGCACCTACCCACCTGTGCCCTTCCTTTGTGCTCATGGCCTCACTTCCAGAGTTTACTGACCACTGTTTGGGGAGCACTTCGCACCTCCCCCGTGGCCGCCTTTCTGTTATGAGCTGCACTCAGCGTGGTGGAGCAGAACTCACCACTGTGCACGCAGCACATGAAGGAACAGTCCCTCCCCACAACTTGAATGAGTAATGCACGAGGGCTACAACGCTGTACATTCACTGCTGGCTCCGTAACTTCAAGGCCTTGCCACCCTGCACGTCTCAGTGCAAGGCACCCGGAGCAGGAGGCGCTTCCTTGAGGAAAACGCGGAAGTCATCTGAGCAGAGTCCCTTCCATGCCAGGAGGACTCACTCTGGAATCATACGTGAAAGATACAACTGTGCTCTTCTATGTTTACATGTGGCTTTATGGGTTACACAGAATCACTTCATAACTGCGCAACGTCAGTGGCATCAAACGTGTTCATTTCAACATGACACCCACCAGAACATAGAGGAAAGGAGAGCAGAGGAAGGGCCTTTTTTGTGAGTGTCCAGCTGGTGCCACCTCAGACGCCCATACCAGAGACTTGGAGCTGGGCGCCGGGTCGGGGCGGCTGGGCCAGGGTGTGCACGCTAGGACGGGTGGTGGTGGTGGTAGTGGTGGTGGTGGTGGTGTTCGTGGTGGTGGTGGTGCTCGTGGCGCTGGACCACGGGCACTGAGTAGGCTTCCCCCACCAGCAGGGGCGGCAGGTCCCGTACCACCTCGTGCTCCATTACTGCAGGCTGGCCCAGCGTGGCCTTGAGCGGTGAGTGGCCCTCCCTGCCCTTCTGCCGGTACCTCTTGTGGCCATAGGGCTGCGGCGGGGGCTGCGGCGGGGGCTGTGGGAGGTGGTGGCCATCCTGGGGTGGCTGGGGCAGGGCGGCTGGTGGGTAGTAGCTGAAGACCCTCCCAGGCTTGCCTCCACCAGGCACGCTCGCACTGGGCACCCCGGGCGGCCTGCCCGAGCCCTTGGGGGACTTGAGGAATTGCTTTTCCTGCCCCTTCAGCCGGGGCTGCATGTCCAGGGCCCGGGCAGCGGGCTCGCTGGCCAGCAGGACGTGATCAGCCAGCACCTGGGACCTGCGGTTGTGCACGGCGTGTGCGTCCGACTCCTGGGAGCGAGACCTGCCCGGGGGGTGTGAGGCCTTGCCCTGGTGCTCCTGCTTGGCCTGTGTTGGTGGGGACCCTGCACACAGGGGACACAGACTGTGAGACCCTCTGTAGGGCCTGGCCAGCTCGCCTGGGACCAGGAACCCCACACACACCTGGGCAATGCCGCAGCACAGTCGCTGCCGGAGCCCACGAGCCCTCGCCGCCACGAGCTTCCAAGGGCGGCGTCCACACCCCGGGGCCCCTCGCCCAGGGACTGGTCTCTGGTACCTACCGGGTCCAAACTTAGACGTGTAGTTTTCTATTCCAGCCAGGTCTAGGTAGTGGTTTCTCCGCTCAGTGTTCTCATCCACGCAGTATGACCCCCTCACAGGGCAGGGGTGGGGGTCAGCGGTGGGCCTCCTGCGTGGGGCACAGGTCAGAAGGGGCCAGAGCAGACATTCCTCAGAGAGGAAGGGGGCACTGGAGTGGATGGCCCTGGGCAGTGGGCTCTGACTGGCACCCACTGCCCAGAGAGGAGCATCAGAAAGGGTGAGTGTCCAGGACAGCAAGGTCCTCAGCCAGCCTGGGACCCCAGCAACACCCGAGGATCATTGTTGCAAACTGCCTATGGAACCTGCAAGAACTCCTGTCATCTGGCCCACCTAGGACACCCAGGCGAGCTCTGAGGCAGAGTGGGTCACTGCTCTGACACCTCCACTGTCCCTGTCACTGCCACAGCTGGCAAGTGGAACCACAGTGTGCAGCGTGTGCCAGACTGAGGGTCTCCAGGCTGACCTGCCCTTCAAGCTTCACCCATCTGTCAAGACAGACACTGGGTGTTCTCGGCTCCAGAGTGCCAGGCCACAAGAGGGCACCCTCGCCCCAACGGGCGCCCAGGTGCTCCTCCTGGTGGTCTGCCCTGAGGGGGCAGTCCCGAGGCCTGCAGGACGCAGGGTGTGGGTGGGCTGCTCCCACCTGAGCAGTGCACACCTGGAGGGTGGAGCCAGACCCTGGCCCCTCACCTGATATAAGCAGACAGCCTCCTGTCGGCCACCCTGGAGTCCTCGGAGATCTCGCCTTCCGTCCTGCAGCGAGTGGGCTCCCGGTCTGAAAGAGAATTCCCTCACACATTTGTACACCCGTTCATTCATTCATTCACTGAGCAAATACTTCTGAGCCCCTACCAGGGGCCAGGCCCTGCTTTCCATGTTCAGGAAACCAGAGATTTTGCCCAGGCAGGTGGGCAGGTATGGAGGGGTGCTGCACAGTAGAAACAATGAACAGTAGTGCCCATGGCCTGGTGTGTGGAGATAAGGGCTATGGGGAATGCAGAGTGGGGGTGGGGAGCCAGAAGGGGTGTCAGCAAGGAGCGGGTGGGCTGCCATTTAAAGCAGGATCTTCAGGGCATCTAAGCAGAGGACCCATGCCCCTCACCCTGTCCGGCGGGGGGGCTCTCCCTCCTCCTGCTGGAGGGCTCGGGGCTGACGGTCAGCTTCACACGGAGGGTCTTACTGCTGCCAGAGGAGTGATTGACTGAGGCATCGACGACCTCATAGATGGTGTGCATCAGGCTGGACATGTCCTGAGGATGGCACCGGCGTCACGGACACAGGCAGCCCAGGCTGGGATCTGCCCACCCCATGCCACCGCCTCCAGGCTGCCTGCCTGTCTGAGTCCCTCTGCATTCCACACAGACCCTGGCTCAGACAGAATGACCACTACGCAGCCTTCCTTACTCCAACTTCAGCCCCGCGTGGTGCCCAACAGCCTGGGTAAGCAGCCCTGCTGCTGTTGGAATCACATCTCTCGCACCATTTAAATTTCACTCTGAATCTGTATGTTCAAAGGACTTCGCAATCAAATAACTACCAACATTTAACTCAAACCCAAAGACACTTACTTTTGTCATCCTACGTGCCTGCCTCCTTTTGAGGGGCACACTGCCCATCCTGGACCCACAGCCAGCAGAGGCGAGTGCCGGGGGCACTTCTGGGACTCTCACCACCGTGCCCAGGGGCTGCTGGTCCCACTGAGCCTCGGGGGACCCAGAAACTGGCCTCACAGGGCTCTGACAGCCGGGGCCCACAAGACTCCCTAGGGTCCCTCACTCGCCTAGATCCATCACCCCCGCCCCCATCCTGGGAAAGGTCCAGCCTCTCCTCCTACCCCATGGGCTCAGCCTGTCTCCCCATCCCAGCGACCACGGCCTGTCTGCTGCCAGCCCCCTGCCCTGTGGCCCATCTTCCAAAAACACAAGCACATCACCTCCCGGGTGGCCTTCCCACTATTGTCGAATCCATAGAGTGTGAAGGTCCACTCCTGGCGGTTGTCCTCCTCCACTGAGACGTCACACTGCAGCGCCTGCAGGGCATGTGGGGACAGAGGCAGGTGGGGTCATCACCCTAGGCTGGGACCCCTGAACCTACCCCCTCTCTTGGGGGAACGGGCCCCCTCATTGCTCCCTCAAGCTCCTGCCCTGGGTGGGCTGGGAGACCAATCAATGGTAGATCTCTGTGTCATTCCCGAGGTGCTAGCCCCACAGCTGGGGAAGCCCCCCAGATTATTTGGTGCCACATCGGCCAGTTTGAGCTGGATTTGCCACAACACCTTCCTTGTACACCACCCCCTCTCCCAGAGCTTGCAGACATTAGAAGCACAAGCAAGCTTTGCTGTAAATCCTCCAACCAGCTGAACCTCAAGCAAACTGTCCAGGCAGGAGGGTATTTTAGGGCCGATGTGCGCCCATCCATCCCAGCCGCAGACTCTCGTGCACCATGAGGCAGAGTGAAGACCTACGTCGATGTTCAGGTGCTTCTTGCCCAGGCCTCGCGGGCCCTCTCGGCTTGCTGCTCTCTCAACCTCATCTGCACTGAAGAGCGGTCCGGCACCCTCTCGACCCTCGGCCTTCTCGGGAGGCAGTGCCACTGGAGGTTTGGGAAGGAGAAAGGAAGAGCTGTTTCCCCCAGCCCAGCCCAAGCAGGTGAGTCGGGGCAGTGGGGATATGGGAAGATACGGCTGGGAATCTGCGATTCTTTCCAGACCTTCAGCCCTGGCCTGGGACGGCCAGACATAGCCAGGTGTGTCCTCCTGGCTCTGCCCCACACAGCCAGGAGTGGCTTCAGAGATGGAGGTGAGGAGGAGGCTGACTTGGGCTGGTCTGGGTTTGGTGGGGAAGTTCACGAGTGTGGAGCATGGGTGGTCCGGGTCCTCAGGGGCTCACCTGTCCAGGTGTCCTGAGGGCAGGTTTTGGGCACATGCCTGGGGTGCAGGGTAGACTCTGTGCGGTCTGGGGAGCAGGACTTACCCTCTAGAGGACACTGGTCCTCCCGGAAAGGTCCCTCTATGGGGTCCCCGCTGAGAAGCTCCTGCAGAGAGAATAGGGAGCGTGTGACCGAGTGGCTCAGTGGGGCAGGCCGTGAACACCAGCCTTTAGGGGTGTCATTGCAGAGATGCCAACCTGTGCACACCTCACTAAGCCTCAGGCTTTTAGCAAGTAAAACGCATGCACATCCCACTGTGTCATCTGGTTCCACTGGAACCACCTCCAGGATAACACCCAGCTGCCAGACACAAGAACTGGGAGAGTGATGCCCTGTCACTGCCAGAGAACGCAGGTGGCTGGGCTCCTGGCTGTGGGGGGTTGGCGGGGGGCAGGGGGAAGGCACCTCCCCCAGAGCAGCCAGGTGAAGCTGAGGGGTCGGCTCAGAGAAGCCCTCAGAGCCAATCCCAAAACCAGTCATGGAAAAATGGGATTCTTCCAACAGAAACGGCAGAACGAAAGCTCACATGATCCTCATAATGAGCCCATGAAAGGGAAGAACACGAGGAAAGGAAACATGAATGGGGTGATCAGGGAAGCACGTTGAACCAGAGGACCCTTCCTGGCAGAGCCTGGTGCCTACACCAGCCACTCACCCCAGGGGCAGGAGGGTCCTGGGGACACTAGGGTGGGCGGGTGCCCTCTGCTTCCCAGACATATCTGTCCTGACTCCATGGCTTCAGGGTGCTGGGGGCCCGGGAGGGGATGGAAGCAGAGGTGTCTGCGTGTGGGCACGAACCCCCAAGGCTACTTGGCAGCACAGCCCTCTCAGCCCCACGGCATCATCCCTCCTCCTGACAGGGAGCCGCAGTGTCCCGGGAGGTCCCCTCATCTTTCCCTGGCGCCGGGCCTGGACTCCAATGTGACTGCTGCCCTAAAGGCCCTGGGAGTTCCCATTGAAAAAAATGTTCCTCCACACATCCCAACGCTAGAGTCTGCAGTGTTCACCGACGAGCTAAACCAGCAACTACCTCCGAGATGCAGAGAGGCTCAAATAAGTGGGGGATGGGGAATGCATTTGGGAGAAAAGTAGCAATTTCTCATCGCTGTGACTGCTGCTTTCGGTCATTCCTGGTTACATAAAATGCCCTTTAATCTGTGCTATGTTGGCTAAACAAAAGGGACAATAGCTTTCATTGCAACAGATACACCTACCACAGGGATGCTGGCCAGTAGTGCCGCCCCTCCCCACTGGGGTGACCTCCAGGTGCCAAATCCCAGAGAATTGGGGCCCTCGAGCCAGACGGAGCACAACCAGATACCCCATCTCCTGAAGCCCAGCAAGTGCGCATCTCCCACAGAGCCCTGCCCCGTCCCGGGACGCCTCTTACCCGCCTATCCTGCTCTGAGCACCTGTGGCGGAGACCCCCACTCCTGGAGCTTCGTTTTCCGCTCTCATTCCCTTTGCCACCCACAAAGGATCCCAGTCCCATGCCTATAAAAGTCTGCCTCTCACCCTGACCAGTGTGGCTCCGTGGGTTGGGTGCTGGCCTGCAAACTGAAAGCTCGTGGGTCCCATTCCCAGTGAGGGCGGATCCCTGGGTTGTTGGGGAGGGGGGTGGGGCTGGCGGACGACAGGAAACAGATAGGTGTTTCTCTCCCTCTCTTTCTCCTCCCCTTCCCCAAGCTCTAGAAAATAAATATAATATTTAAATTTTTCATTTAAAAATAAATAAAATCTTTTTAAAAAGACTTTATTGAAAAGTAAATAAAATCAACCAATGAATGTGCAAATAAGTGGAACACACTGATGTCTCTCTCCCTTCCTCACTAAAAAAATAAATAATAAAACTTAAAAATAAATAAAATCTTTTTAAAAAAGAGAGAAGGGAGGGAAGGAAGAAAGAGAGGGAGAGAAACATCGATGTGGGAGACAAACATCAATCCCTTGCCTCTCATATGACCCCCGGCTGGGGATTGAACCCGCAACCCAGGCATGTACCCTGACTGGGAATGGAACCTGCCACCTTTCGGTTTGCAGGCCGGCACCCAACCCACTGAGCCACACCAGCCAGGGCAAATAAATAAAATCTTAAAAAAACAACAAAAAAAGCCTGCCTCTCATCCAGATCTGGCCCCACCGTCTGTCTGGCCAGGTTTCTGTAGAGGGTCCTCAGCACTGTGCTCCTTACTCCTCTGGCTGAGAGCTCTGTTCTGCCACAGATCCTGGGGCTCCCTCATCAAGCAAATGGGGTGGGCCCGACCTGCTGATCCCCTCCGGCACAGGGGGTTAGGGTGGGGGGGGCAATGCTCGATGCTCTGCTTGCTTCCCGCTCCCACCTCCGGCTGCCCTGGTGCATTGTCCCTCCACTCCCCAGCATCTGCTGGCCACGGGGACTGGATTTCAGCCTGAGGCATCCTAATGCTTTATGAACGCCCAGGTCATTCTTTTGCACGTCAGCGTTAGGGGACTGCAACCTTCGACCTTCGCTGTGGGGTCCCCATGGTCTGATCCGCACCCCTCTCACCCTGCAGGGGCTCTCAGGAGAGACCATTCAGGCCTGTCGATGAGCTGCCCCAAGGCTACCATGCACATCTCCTGCCCAACTGTCCTGAGCACAAGCCATAGCACAAGCCTGAGCTCCCTGTCCTCCCCAGCAAGCAGCCCTGTGCGGGAAGCGTTTGTCCGGGACGGGTCCTGGTGAAAGGCCCAGGACTGACCATCTGCTCAGGTGAGACCTCGAGGCATCCCCCACAGCTGTCTGTGGGTGCAGGGTGTTGGCAGAGTCACCTGAAATCGTGGCTCCTGGCCTCCCTTGAAAGACCAGGTCAGGCCACACCTCCCCATGGGACAGCACCCAGCAGAGCCGGGTAGCCACGCCAGGGTCCTCACCCCCATCCACCAGAACTGTGGTGGCATGCATGGGCTGTCCGCCGCAGGTGCCAGGTCTGGGATATCTCACACACCTGGCCGAGGGAGGGGTAGGACACTGCTGCTACCTACTGGCGTGCAGGTGAGCTAGGAAAGGAGAAACCTTTTGTGATGTGAACGCCCACATCCTGAGTGCCTCTGTTTTTCAGGTTTCACCGTTCACGCATATCTTCAAACTTTGCTGCATCTGGGATCTTAGCAAACACATTCCCAGGTTGCCAGGAGCCTTTGTTTTCCTTGGAAACCCCATGCTCTTGCATAAAACAAAGGTGGGAACCTCTGGGAAAGATCTTTGAGGGAAAAAGTGCCGCAAAGCTGCTGCTTCTTCCTTCTTCCCCTGACGACTGAGTGACTGAGGGAGGCCGAGCCCCAGGAAAGAAGGGCTTTATGAGACGTGCTTCGTTTCCAACCAGCAGCCACTGGGGTTCATTCAGTTGTTTTGTCCCAGGAAGGGCAGGTGTCTCCTCTTTTCCAAACAGATAAAACCTGTGTGTTTCCCTGGAAAGATCTGTGTTAGTTCAGCCTACAGCTCTTTAAAGGAGGTTAGTGCAGAGGTGTTCGGAATTTGGGCTTCAATAAACAGAGTCTGAGGCCCTGGCCGGGTACTCGGTTAGAGCATTGTTGGGATATGCTAAGGTCACGGGTTTGACCCTTGGTCAGGGCACATACAAGAATCAACCAATGAATGCATAAATAAGTGGAACAACACATCGATGTCTCTCCCTCCCTACCTCTCCTTCTAAAAAAGTAAATAAATAACATTTAAAAACAGGGTCTGTTGAGGATACCAGAGCCTGCAGGACAGTGTGTAGTGTCCTGGGGCAGCCATAATAAATGGCCGCAAACTGGGGGCTTAAACAATAGAAATTCATGCTCTTAGTTCCAAGGCCAGAGTTAGAAATCGAGGTGTCACAGGGCTGCACTCCGTCTGGAGGTCCCAGGGGAGGGTCCTTCCTGTCTCCTCCACCTCCTGGTGGCCCCAGGTGTTCTGGCCTTGTGGCTGCACCCCCAACCTCTGCTCCGTTGTCACACGGCCTCTCCCTGTGTCTGACTCTTCTGGGTCGAGCCTCTCAGTGCCTCCCTCTTACAAAGATACACATGAGGGTGGTCGGTGCCCCACCAGGATGGGATCCCATCTGCAGAGACCCTTCTCCATATCAGGCCACAGCCGTAGGCTCCGGGGAGGAGGACAGGGGTCTCTGGGGCCAGCGTTCATTCAGCTCCCACCGTCCGAAGCTGGGCCTGGTCTCCATTCTGCTACACGGGCCAACAGTTCTCAGTCGGCCGCAGAATCACTCGGGCCCCGGTTCCCTCTTGCTGAAACAAGAAATGGGTTCCAAGGAGGGAGCTGGGGCTCCCCAGGTGCCCCCTGTGTGCCAGGAGTGCCTACACGCCACACTGTGGGCCCTTCCCTGCCCCCCAATGGGGAGACCTGTGCTGTTAGGACAAATAAAGTAACGCCATTGACGGCTCAGACACCCGAGCTCGCTGACTGGAATTCCTCCTCCTAACCTAAACAGGCCGGTAACAAGGCTGAGGGCAGGAGACCCATGCACGCAATTCCTGCTTCAAGAGAGAAAGGTGATGGACACACTGCTAGAGACCAGCCTGCTTCTCCAAGTAGACTCTTTGCAGACTCCGACAGGCCTCTCTGGCTTGCGTTCCTGAGAATGTGGTGTTCCCCAGGGGCGAATATTTACACTGTCCAGAAAGCCAGCTCTGTGTGCTCAGCCCCAGGAAAAGGCCCCACTTCTGTGAGAGGGTCCAGGATGGTTGTGATGAGAATCCAGCGTGGCCACCAGGAAAGTGGGTGCCTGGCACCTGGGCGCACCCCACCCACCAGGCAGGAGAGCAGCTCTGGTTCCCCTGCCACTCTCAGAGCTGCCACTTCTTTTCCATTAAAACAGACTCAGGTGACCCACTCAGTAGATCTCGAGCCCCTGACGGCTCATGGCCTAAAGCCCCAGCACCCCTGGCCTTCTGGAAGTTCTGCCCTCCTGAATATGAGGTTAGGGCTGCTCCTCGGAGTTCTGGGTGAGTTCCCAAGTCCTGTGTCTCCTCCTCCCAGGTGTAGTGGCAGGCAGGGCAGCATTGGACTCCATGTGGACCAGAGTCCAAGCAGGTGAGAAAGAGGTGGGGGAGGGTAGAGAAAAAGAGAGGGGGGGCAGGGAGGA